AAGAAAGCTAAAATCTAGAAAAATCAAAACGTTGACATCTCTACTACAGAGGGGTTTAACTTGACAGGGCCCAAATCATGTTAATGCGTATATGTGTACCATGTACAATACAACAAAATGGCGGTTTTACTCTTCTTTTTCGGTTGAATTTCAATCTATATAAAAGCTCCTCTCTTCTTTCTCCTCCCAAACTAGAATTTACACAAACAGTTGAAATGTTTCAGAAGGTAAGCTTTATATGAAATTTCATGATCTATAAAATAAGAAACTTGTAAAAAACCTCAAAGTAAGTTTTCAAAAGTGTGGTGTAAAGTACTAACCCTATTTAGGCTGACGTATACTTTACCCAAAATAGTCGGGGGGAGGGGGGGACTATTTCCTTATTGTGATTCAAATCTACAACATTTGATACATTTTCGGAAAGCCCTCGGGCTTTCTTTAATAATGTGCAAAAAAGATTTGCAAATTTGAAAAATGTCAAATATTTTTGTAAAATTAAGTTATTTTTCAAAATATGTGCAAAAATAAGTACGCGAATTATGATAAATTATTCAATTTGAAAAGCCCTTGACCTAGCAAATTCAAATATGCAAAAACATTTTCAAAATTTTGAAAAACTGAATGTGTATTTAAGAAAAATTGAAAATGTGCAAATTTTCTTTAAAGGTGTCCGTGCACAAATCAATGCAAAGTTTCTTGGCAAACATTGTGCCATCTACTTTTGTTTGTTAAGGGCTTTCTAAAAAGGTATAAAATATTGAAATCCAAAAATTGGAAGTAGTTCTAAATATAGATTTAGTTTGGTATAGGTAAAATCAAGCATTCAGTTAGTATGCGTGAGGCAGTAGGTTTAAAAGCTCCTCGTTACTTTAAAAGTGAGGGGTAATTGTAAGTTAGAAAAGTAAAAAAGATTGAACAGTCTTAGACAAATACTTTTTGAGGTATGTCAAAAAACATTCCAGCTGGAATAGTGTTAAATGAAATCAGTTTTACTGTTAGTATTTGCGTAAAATACTATTTTTATGTCACACAACGTCAAAAACAAATCTTGCTTTTAATATGTATTTTCATATTATTATTCAAGTAGCAATCATGTAATAATATTTTCTTTATTCACGAATATCTATATTGTTAAGAATTTAATAAAAACAATTTGAAATGAACTGCAATTTCTCGTTAAAAACTTAAATTTTCTATTCCCTGTATCTTTGCAATACTGTTTGTAAACCTTAGCATTTCAAACTATGATTATTTTATCATAGTTTGAAATATCAAAGTTCAATATCGACATCGAGTTGCAAAGATGGGGTTTAGAAAGTCAGAATTTGTAGAAAGAACTTAGAAACTTTATCCGATTTAAGGGATTCATTTGTGAATCATACAGGGCACTATGTAAATGAAGGGTCACTTAAAATTAATTCTACATTTCCTTTAAAAAGCCTCAGACCAATACTTTTTGAGTTATGTAAAAAAAACTACAGGGGGGGGTTAAATGAAATCATTTTTATTCTTAGTATTTACGTAAAATACTATTTTATGTCAAACAACGTCAAAAACAAATCTTGTTTTTAATATGTATTTATATATTCTTATTCAAGTAGTAATCATATAATAATATGTTCGTTAGTCACGTATATCTATATTGTTAAGAATTTAAGAAAAACAATTTAAAATGAACTGCAATTTCTTGTTAGAAATAGAAATTTAAATTTTCTAATCCCTTCATCTGTGGTGTAAACCTTAACATTTTAAACTATGATTATTTTATCATAGTTTGAAATATCAAAGTTCTATATCCACATCGAGTTGCAAAGATGGGGTTTAGAAAGTCAGAATTTGTGGAAAGACCTTAGAAACTTTATCTGATTAAATGAATCGACAGTAAGCGTAATTTCAAGTGACCCTCCATGCAAAGATGACAATGCCCGATTTAGAACGGTACCATAAAAAGCTTTGCAAATATGATTTAGAATTTCTTGTTAAAAGAAAACATAAATCAGTTAAATAACAGAAACAAACGCATCAATATCTAATTCATATGTAATCAGACAACGCCTTCAAGGGTACCGTTGTAAACCTGGCATGGAGGGTCACTTGAAAATACGCTTACAGTCCCTTTAAGAAAGATTATGTTTCATTAATTAAAATATTGTATGCATTTCATATTAATTAATACTAATTAAGTCTTTTCATTTAAATGTCTGGTTATCAGATTTGATTGTCAGAAGTGCTGCAATTATGAAATAAAAATTAGGCATATTCATGTAATTGTACAATCTTTGTGGCTATTATTGAAAAACCGCTGAAATATTTTTTTTAGTATTTCTGAAAGATGATAAACTTAGATTTAATAGGTTTTTTTTCTAATTTTGGGATGTTAATCGACTTTTGATAGAAGAATTAAAATTCGATCTCTGAATTAGACTCTATCTATCTGTCTATATGTGCCTAAAGTTTATTTACTAAAGTTAGTTCTCCAGCGCTGAAAACTTTAGAATGAGATATCCTTAATCATGATCGCTTAATCTGAGTATCCAATGTACACACTCTTGATTTTATTCATGATCCTCTTTTTTGGATATCCCCACTGTATAAAAGTTATGTTTGATAACAATTACAGATACAATGTTATATCGATTGAACTAATATCCGATTGAATTAAAGTCAGCTGTTCACAAGCCGGCTGTTAGAGCATTTGAGCAAATATATATTTAATCATGTTAATATGAACAGCTATTAAAATATAAATTTTATCACATTTTAAGGACTATCGTCATTTCAAACAAGTCTTAACAAACATTTGTCCAAAACTTACATTTATTTAATCGATGTGTAGTTCAATTGATATGACACAATCATTTCCAGAAAAAAAACGGTTTTTCAAAAGTTAAAGAGTACATCTTAACATGATACACTAATTAATTTAATTTTATACTTCTTTCTTGGATATCAAATGCATATTAAAGTAATCTCGGGTTTAGTAAAACCAGCTTTTTATCTTGATAATTTCTTAATAAGGTTTAGGTTCAACAGTTTTCCATCGAGTTCAATACTCTCACAGATCTTCTTTATAAAAGACCAGAATATATTATCGCTCAGTTTACTTTAGGCAACTTATGAAGAAGCTTTAAACCAGGAAAGGAATCAATTAAGTTTTATTAATTTTTAAACTACTTAAACACTATTAAACCATTTTTTGCCAACATATCTTTCAGCCAGTAATAAGTATCCTGACTAGCAAAACTGTGAAAACATATTTTTTTTGGTACTGTAAATTTAATTAACCCTTCACAGGAGAAAAGTCCGATTTACAACGATACATATTCAAGTTTTGTAAGATCAAGTACGAACTAGAAATCACTGTTTATAATTTTGAAAACTGATTTGTTTTCAATTGATTTTTTTCTACAAAGTGACTTGCGCTATTATACTGAAAGAAAAAAATATAAATTAACAGAATTAAACAATTTTAAACCTAGAAAAACGACAATATTTTCCTCTTTATTGATCAGATAAAGGTTTCAAGGGTGCTGTTGCGAATCGGGCATTGACAGCTTTGCATGGAGGGTCATTTTAATTTACGCTTACAGTCCTTTTAATCCTCCAGACACTTCGTGAGAAATCACAATTCGAAAATATCAATTTTCAGATATAAAAACTAGGATATTTTTCTAATTTTGCTTTGAAATAGATAAAAATGTTAATCTTCAAAATTCATTCGAATTTGAAATATTTTGATTCCAAAGATTTTGATATTAGTAGTTGACCTAAATCTGGTGATAAATATGATTACGAGGAAGATCTATCTTCTCCTTTTCTTCATCGCTGCAGCATTAGAAGCTTATCCCCTCCAGCAGACATTTAGGAGATATTCACTGCCATCCTTTGTCAAGCTTCCTAATCGTTTAGGAAGATATCTTGATCATCCTCCTTCCTTAGGACTCCAGGATGCTGCCACAGTTTCTCCTCAACCTTTATATAAAGAAAGCTTGGAGAAACATAAACAAAAAGATCATAAAAACCTGAAAATGTCATCATTGAGTGAAGAACCAGAAATCACTTTGGAGGAGTTAGAAAAACTGTTAGAGAATGACGATGAGAAACTTGAAATGTCTCCATTGAATGAAGAATCAGAGTTTACTTTGGAAGGATTAGAAAATCTTTCCACCAATGACAATGTGAACAATACAATTTCCCCTTTGATTAAAGAACCAGAAATCACATTGGAAGAGTTAGAAAAGCTTGTTGAAAATGACGATTTGAACCATGGCATGTACTCCTTGAGTGAAGGACCAGAAATCGTTTTTGAGGAGTTTGAAAAACACATGGAGAAGGAAAGTGAGAAATCTGAAATATCTACTTTGATTGAAGACTCAGAAATCCCTTTGGAGTGGAGTAATATGGATGAGAACTTAATTACTACTGATTTAATTGAGGAATTAGAAGTTCCTACGGAAGACTTGGAAGAATATATGGAGAAAAATTTGAAAACTTCCACTTTGAATGAGTCAGAAATCACATTAAACGAATTTGAGAAGCAAATGGTGACCGAACAGGAGGACAATAAAATATCCACTTTGGCTGAAGACTCAGAATTCACTTTTGAGAAAGGTATTGAGGATGAGAACCTTATAACTGCTGATTTAATTGAGGAATTAGAAGTTTCATTGGAAGACTCGGAAGAATACATGGAGAAAGATCAGGAGAACCTGAAAACTTCCACTTTGAAATATTTAGAAATCTTATTGGACAAATTAGAGGAGCAAATAGTGACCGATCAAGAGAACCTTAAAATATCCACATTGCCTGAAGACTCAGAAATCACTTTTGAGATAGGTATTGAGGATGAGAACCTTATAACTGCTGGTTTAAAGGAGGAATTTGAAGTTCCATTGGAGGACTCGGAAGAATATATGAAGAAAGATCAGGAGAACCTGAAAACTTCCACTTTGAATGAGTCAGAAATCACATTGGACGAATTTGAGAAGCAAACGGTGATAGATCAAGAGAACCTTAAAATATCCACCTTGGCTGAAGACTCAGAAATCACTTTTGAGATAGGTATTGAGGATGAGAACCTTATAACTGCTGATTTAATTGAGGAATTAGAAGTTCCTATGGAAGACTCGGAAGAATATATGGAGAAAGATCAGGAGAACCTGAAAACTTTTACTTTGAATGATTTAGAAATCACAATGGACGAATTTGAGAAGCAAATGGTGACTGATCAGGTTAACCTTAAAATATCCACTTTGGCTAAAGACTCAGAAATCACTTTTGAGAAAGGTATTGAGTATGAGAATCTTACAGCTGCTGATTTGATTGAGGAATTACGATTACAAATAACTTTAGAGAACTTGAAAGAACAAAAGGAAACAAACCAGAAAACCTTGAATACTTCCACTTTAAATAAGGAATCAGAGATCACATTGGAAGAGTTCAAGGAGCATCTGGACAAAGACCAAGATAACCTTCAAACGTCCTCAAGATATGAAGAATCAATGACAAGTTTAGAGAAACATCTTAAAAAAGATCATAAGCTTGAGGAGTCAGAGACACAAGTAAAGAAAGATGATGATGATGATGACACTTTGAGTGGAGAATCAAAGATCATAACAAAGGTGTCTGAAATGAACATATATAATGTTGATGAGATGACTTCTGTTTTAATTGATGAACTAGAAGTTCCCTGGGAGATATCAGAGAACCCCTTAGATACAGAGGATGAAAATACTAAAACTCAATATTTGATTAAAGATTCTGAGATCATGTTGGAGGAATTAAAAAAGAATTTCGAAACTTTGCCTGTAATGGAAGATTTAGAGATCAAATTGAATGAAAAACCGAAAGAACATTTGAATACACAAATTTCAGCTCAGATTAAAGAATTAGAAAATACACTGAACGCATTGGAAAAACATTTTGAGAATTATTATGAAAACTTCACCCCTCCCACTCTCAGGAGGGAATTAAAGATTACAGTGGAAAAATCTACAGAAAGCTCTGATCAAATCTCAAACATGAAAACAAGTACAGATGAAAATATGCTCTTTAGCGTTTTACTCAGTGTGTTTGATACCTAACAATTAATTTTTAAAAAGTGTATAAAACATATATATTTTTGTGTATAAAATTGTTCAATGTAGATTGTAGACTGTTATACGAAGATTAATTGGTTAGAAGGTTTTTATATATAAGAAAGGTTATCATGTCGTGTCCAGTTTATTTGCTTGGTTCAACCAAGCGGAGAAACCTGATGGAGAGAGAGATATATTTTATGTTCATCCTTTTATCTTTCTTGTGCTAACTAAAAAGAAAGAAAATCCTTCATGAAAAGAAAAACTTGAATTTTTTGTAAATAACTTAAATCAAACTGAAACTGTTTTGTGTTTTTAAACGTGACAAAATATTTTTTATTCTTAATTTCTAAAATGTAGTCTACCTTGAATTCAAATCGAAAACAAAGATGACTGAATAAAAAAAATTTAATTCTAAATGCTAACACAAAATTTTGATCAAGCAGAACCCTTCCCTGGGGTCATGTAAGTTTCTGTAAAAAGTTTGGGTCCGATCGGTTCCACCGTTTTGACATTTCTTTGATACTAACAGCAAGCAAACAAACAGACATACAAGCCAAGTTTATATGATTTTATCCACAGTATTCCTTTCCATCAATATATTTAGTCATAATATTTCTTCATATAATTTTCTTTACGCACAGGCCACAATATTCCGTCCCATTATCTTTACTCATGATATTACTTCCCATCATTATCTTTACTCATAATATTCCTTCATATTATTATTTAATCACAATATTCCTTCCCATCATTATCTTTACTCATAATATTCCTTCCCATAATTAATTTTAGTCACAATATTCCATACCATCATTATCTTTACTCATAATATTCCTTCCTATTATTATTTTCATCACAATATTCCTTCCCATCATTATCTTTACTCATAATATTCCTTCCCATAATTAATTTTAGTCACAATATTCCATCCCATCATTATNGTTAAATGAAATATTCCCGCTAATCACAAACGGAGTTCCCCCTCCAACTTCCCTTTATTTCAAAGAAAAATGAAATTTAGCCATGTTTTGCGAAAAATTAATTTTTAAATCATACCAAAAAGGTATGAATAGATATATAAATTTGCGTCGTAAAGGGGTCTCACAGAGTCCTCATGAGCACATGTGCAATTGTATCACTTTATGCCGAATGTTTCTGGTTCAAATAAAGTGTTTAATAGAAAGGGGAAGTTTTAAGACTTAAAAAGAAACAAATTAAAAGGCTTCTGCACGAACCCTCCTATAACCACCTATGGCTGGCCGGGACTGGGGTGCAGGAAACATTTTCAGTGACTTTCTGTGATTTTCTTTAAGAGAATTCAGTCTTTGACACAAATTTTATTTTTATAATCTCAATATAATTGTCTTAGACATTAGATATTTCAAATAATGATAAAATAGTCAAAGTTTGAAATATTAGAGTTTTGAGTTTGTGGCAAAGACATTAATTTCTTCAGATTATCAACATTAAATAAAACGAAATCTGTACAATCGGCTCTTAGTGAAATAGATTAAGGGTAGTTTTGTAAAATGTTAAAATGTGTCTAATCCCTATGTATTTTCAATCCAATGTAACAGACATAGATATTTCAAACTAAATCTTCTGTTAGTTTAAATGAAAGATTGAAATATCAAAAGTTTGCACCATCAGGTTGCAATGAAATTATGCTTACAGTCCCTTTAATACTAATATTTTCCATCGCCGGGCCCTGCCAGCCACCCCTTTAGTTTCTTACCAATAAAGACAGTTTTTCCAGAGAATAATAAATTACAAATCGGTTTACGTCCATATTTTATACTGCAATAAATATTCATTCTAATATCCGAGCCATCTCTAGATAGTGGGATAGGGGAATAGTGGAACAGGGATAAAGATGTGCGCGTTTATACTTTTTTAATCGAATTCGTTAATCGTTCGTTAGCGACCCATTTCGTTTCTGTCTTATTTTTTTTGATTAATTAATTGTCAAAATAAAGCTCATTTTTTATCTTTTCCGTTCGTTTCCTAACTGAACGATCGTTCAAAATTTTTCGTTCAGTAAAAACTATGGTTTTTCAAGTTTGCTTGAAAAACTATTTGATCATTTAAAAGAACTAATTAAAAAAGGTAGTTCGAAAAATTCGTAATTAACCGTTTGTTTTTTTCAATTTAGTTCGAAAAAACGATTTAGAAATTGTTCTTTCACGGTCTGAATGATCCAAGAAATGCCAATGATCGTTGTCGATTTTATATAGTAATTTGTTATAATAAAAATTGTATGTTTTTTACATGGCCGATTTTTAGGGTTTGTTTGTCATAGACCTTAAATATTTCAAGCAATATTCTTTCAGGTCTAATAATATAAGTTTGAAATATCAAAGGTTTCCACCATCAGAGATGGAATTTAAAGAATTTAAGCCGCGGTTCAAATCGGCCAAAACCCGGTTTAAATCAAATTAATTTGATACAATTTTAAGTGGAACCAACCATATTTAAGCCGCGGCTTGAATTTAAACCGCCGCTCAAATTCTTTAAATTCGGCCACAGATTGCAAAAATAAAGGGGGGAAAATTTGGGTTTGTGATAAAAACTCAATTCCTTTTTATCACTGTTTACGAATTCTCTATATTCAACCTTTGAAAAGCCAGAAGAAAATGCCGAATCTAGCTGCAGAATTTTGCGGATTTTAAACCAGAGAAGAATAATTTATGGGTTGGGGGAAAGGTTTATATTCATCGCAGACATATTTTTTATATATCTGAACATTAAACAGTTTCAACTTTTATTTCCTTCTCTCAATGCTATGCGGACAAAATTTGTCTTATTTTCATAAAGATATTTCTATTTTTATATAGAAGGCTTCAGGACTTTTACAAATAGAAATACTTGGGTTAGAAATTAATTTCGATATGTTTTTATATCCTCATCAGTCCTAACGAAAATGATCAAAATTGATAAACATTTAAACGAAAAAAAATAAAACTTAGATTTCGCCGATTTTTCTGTTTCTTTTGGTGGATTAAAAAAAAATTAAAATCTAAAACCAAACATAATTTGAACGAAATCAAATCAATATTAAAATGATCAATGCCAATAAGTATATGCTGTAAAATATTATGAAATGATATAGGATACAATTCTTGTAAAGCTTGTTTTGACATACGATAATTTTGACATTTCCTGTTAGAAGCTAGAAGCTAGATTGACGTATCAACTAGTGCAAAGTACCCTGTCATTGTCCAAAAAGAATAGGAATTTTAAAAGCCATATGCACAACATGTTAACATGTTATTCTAGTGCATAATCAAGAAAATAAAAGTTTTAATGTACTTTTAAAAAAAGTGTTTACAGTCGTCGTCGTCGTATATATCAATACAATAAAGACGACTTTCGATTTTAATTTTTGATTTTTAATAGACTTTCAATCAGCATGGATACATAAAACATAGAAACAAAGAGAGAAAATGCGGAATTCCGCCCAATGCTTTGCAGAATATGCAAGCAAATTTGCGCCTTTTATCACGAAAGTTTGCTTCTGCTGGAAACCCATACGGAAGGGTGGATTTATACATTTATGTGTTGAAGCGTAAATGTTTTTTATTCTTATACATATTGCACTTTACTTATACTTTTCATAAAATAAAAACTAGAGGAGCTACGAGGTCATTACGTTGTTCCAGTAATGTTTCCCTTCTGTCTAGTCTGCAGTGGGTTAATATCTTTAAAGAAGAATATAGCTGAACCTTACTTTGGCAAGGTTCGAGTTGCAAGATCTGGTAGATTAGAAACTGTTTCTGATCAGTCTTCTCTATTTTAACATCTTTTTGCTCTCATTAGAACATAGATCCATTTACACCTTCCAAAAGAGAAATGGAAACAAAAAGTTTTCCATAAGTTAATTAATTCACGTATTGTTTCATTATCTGGACCAAAGACTAAGGTCTACGACACTGACTTGCAAAGATAGAGATTGAAATTTCATAGTTTGTAGAAAAGTTTAAGGTAAGCTTTTGCTTTAACTCGTAGATTCATTTCTTTATACTTTCTGCAGAGTATAAATATCAGTCAAATTATCCCGGCGCACACCTACAAGGTGTCTATATATAAACATGTGAATGGAGTGTCTATTTTGATATTGTTTTCGTAAGTGATTTTTTTATTTGGTATATTGATGTCTACTACAGTGAAACCTTTAATAACGAATACATCTAAAGAATTCATAAAACGTCGTATTCTTCACTATTTGATAATGGAATGTTGCAGAAATTTAGTTTTTCAATTAAATGATTATATGGAACTCTTTAAAACTGTTCCCGTATATTCATGGCTATTTATTTATTTTCGCAAATACATGAAATTTACGTAATATAGTATAAAACTCATTGAAAAATTGTCAAGACGACATTTGATAAATTCTTCCGAATTATTAAGGGTTTCACTGTAGGAAACCTGTAATCCGTAGATAGTTCGTCTGCTAGAGTTTAGAATTTGTTTGTTTATGTTTTGATTTCAATCAATAGTGAGTAAATTTGTATCCCTCTTTTTCAAATCCATATTCAAAGACACTTCCTCCCCATCTATCCATCCCTCCTCCTCTCCTCCCAACTAAGTTTCCTCCCCTCCCAACATTATTACCTGCTCTCCCAACAATATTACCTGCTCTCCCAACTATGTTTCCTCCTCTCCCAACAATATATCCTGCTCTCCAAACTATGTTTCCTCCTCTCACAACAATATTAAAAGCCCTCCCAACTATGTTTCCTCCTCTCCCAACAATATTACCTCCTCTCCCAACTATGTTTCCTCCTCTCACAACAATATTACCTCCTCTCCCAACTATGTTTCCTTCTCTCCCAACAATATTACCTTGACCCTCCCAACAATATTAGCTCCACTCCCAACTATTTTTCATCTCCTCCCAACAATATTACCTCTACTCCCAACAACATTACCTCCCAACAATGTTACTACCCCTGTGGAGAACCAGGTTTAAAGCACAAAAACATGGATATATAATTCATACATTGATATCAAATTCATACGTGGATATATAATTCATACGTGGATATATAATTCATACGTGGATATATAATTCATACGTGGATACCTAATTTCACAATCCATTAAGCCTATTTTATGTTTTTTTAACATTACAAATATCTATCATTCTAATTTCTAAAAGCTGTTAGTTCATCGTCGAAAAATACTAAAAATTCACCACCAGTTTATATTAAATATAATGTAAACAATAAATATGTAACTTTCCTTTTCCTCTCCTTTCCTTTTATTTTTATTTTTATATTTTTTTAATTGGGGGAAAATATTCCCACAACCTCTATTTTTGAAGGTTTTTAATAATTTCTCCTGAGACACTTACTTTTTTTGTTTTTGTTTTATTTTATAAATAAATAATTACTTTCTTACTTACTATGCTTACTTAGTCAGAGTAAATCGGACATTGCCTTCTTTGCATTTAGGGTTGCTTCAAATTACGCTTTATTAAACAAAGCCGATTAAAAAGTACTGAAAAATAACATCGAAAAACGTTATAAATAAAACAAAAATTTTAAAAAGCTGTTTATTCAAAACTTGTTTTTCATATTTCTTGTGAATTGTATCTCCAGGTCAGCCTGGTGTTATATTTCACAAGAATTCCTTGATAAAAAAAAAATTCATTTTCCCGTAATATCAATCAGATAAATTACTGACAGACAATTTTCAATCTCCAGTTACAAAACGGGATTCACGGTGGAGACATTTACAGCTTTCAATACAACGTCTGATTTGTTGAAATCATGAAAATAGTGATTAAACTAGGTGTGGGACTTTTCTATGAATGTTTCTAGTCTAAACTTGAGTCGATACCGTTGTAGAAACTTTTGATTGAAGTAGTTAAAAGTGATTATTTTGTAGAAAATAGTGGAGCAGTAGATATTGTCCTGAACAATATATATGTATCCAAATAGATATTAATTTTTCTGCTTAACCCTATTTACCCTGAGGGGGGGGGTCAATTTGACCCCCCTCTCTTCGTTTTTATGCGATAACTCTAAAAGTATTTGAGCTAGGAAGCTCAAGTTTTCTGACTTTTCTAATTAAAACATGCCCATTATTTAAGGCTAAAAGCCGGGCTTTTATACCTACTGCCTGAGTCCTCAGGCATACTGCTAAATGCCTTATTTCACCTATACCAGACTAAATCTATATTTAGACCTACTTCAAGTCATTGGATTTAAACTTTTTGTTGCTCCTTGGGAAGCCTATAACAAAAGCAACCAGATTGCACAATTTTTGCAAAGAAATTTTAAACACACTTCTGCACAGACGCACATTTTTAGTTTTCTTAAATATATACTTTTAGGTTTTTGAAATTTTGAAAAGATTTCTGCGGATTTTAATTTACTGGGTCAAAATCTTTTTAAAAATGTATAATTTGTGGCAATTTGTGCAATATTTTGATTTAGGAAAATTTACCATTTTTTTAATAATTATTGAAGTAGAGACCATGGGCTTTACTCAAACGTATCAAATGTTATAGATTTGTATCACAATTAAAAATAGAGGTGGGAACCATGCATGAAACCAGACGTCAGGGTAAATAGGGTTAAATGAGAAACTGTCTGGGAACGAATTATTTAGTAGTTTGATCTAGGTTGCTGAACTACAAACACCAGGTTCAAATTTAAACCTCCAATTCAAAATTTAAGATTAAAAAAGGATTTAAATTTGAACCGGCGGTAGAAAATTTATTTAAATCAAAAAAAAAGTTTAAACTTTTTCTGTAATTTTTTTTTTAATGCTATTATATGAATATTTTCAAAAAAGAAATGCCGACTGTCACTGGCTCTGTAGGGTTAATAATTATATTCCAATCTCTTGTTCAAGGAAAAAATATATTAACAAATACCAAGTAAGTGATTTTTTCTAGAAAGCTTTCTACACAATTTATTTACATCTTAAATTTTAGCTTTTAATTGTTGCTCTATCTGCAAAACAACTTTTTGAAACAATTTTTTGTAATTCTGAGCATCGATGAAACTTACCTGGGGTTATGTGTACAAGGTGTGTGTACTGATGAAAGATGGTGTTGAAAGTTTCAAGACGTTATTTAAGATTAACTTCTTTAAAATATATTAGATTTGTTTCATTGCTCAGAAATATCTAATTAAGGCGATAACTCACTTGAACAGCTTCTATTTGTAAAAGTGTAACTATTTTCTGGTTAAATTGGATAATGTTAGGCTTTTCTGCGTATGAGGATTATATTATGGATCAATAATAACCTAATTTGAACAACGGAATTAATTCAAAGTATGTTAAATGCTTCTTCATTTCCGATGTGGTCTCGTAAAAATTGATTTGAGCGATTGTTCAGATTTTTAGTAGGCCATTGATATAGCATCTCCAACATTGAATGTATTAAATTATCTTTTAACACTATCCTTTACGAGAAATTTGCTGTGTGCACAGGGGGTACATGTATAAATAGATATATTGCTTCCAATATTTATTTCATTTCATTTGCAACTCGACATTTTTAGATTTAAAACATTTCTTCCTTTGAAGGTATATACTATAGGGGTTATTTTATAGAGCATTTATAGAGTTGGTTATCAGTTTTACAACAGTACCCTTTACCCCTGGTCAATGTCAAAGCAAGCTCTGACTTTCGATCACATTGGACCTATTATAGTCTAAGAAAAAAATTGCAATCATATGTTCTTGCAAAATCTATTTATATAGTAAACATGTTTGCAAAGGTTCAAAAAATTATACAATATACAATCTTGTGCATTCTGCTTCCTTATCATATTATTGGCTTTCAAAAAGCTAAAAGTTATCAAAATCTAACAAAAAATTTAGTTTGTTATTGAAAAAGTAGTCTTTCAGGCAGTGTGCCTAGGTTAGTAGTGCCTGGTTTTTGACCTAAAGGGAGGGTTATGAGTTTTCAGGAAAAGTCAGAAAATGTTAACAGCCTCAGACCAAATATTTTTTGAGTTATGTAAAAAAAAAACTACATGGACGTAAATATACGGTATTTTCACATGGCAAAGTAACGTCAGCTGATTTGAGTTCAGACTGTACGCGAGTGTACACTCTAGATATATACATGATATGTACGCGAGATATACATGAATCCGGGAAATATTTGAAAGATATAAACAGGGATATCTCAATCGAAATTACACAGTCCTTATAGATAAGTAAAGTTAACGTTCCAAAGATGCTTTACGAGAAATACATTAGAAAAATATCAAGACAGATTACTTCCGCATAATTTAATTCCCATTATAAACACAATGATAAAAGAGAATTCAAGCTAAATTATCTTTTTCATAAATCATTATTTCCATTCTTTCAGTGAAGGATTTTTAGATAAGAAACAAAACAAAGATTTCAAAGGTAAATTATTTTTAAACTAAAAACTAGACTAAAATAAACTAAACTAAACTAAACAAAAAAACTAAACTAAACTAAATTAAACTAAACTAAACAAAGATGACATAAAAAATATACTAAACTTAACTAAACTAAATTAAATTAAACTAAAATAAACAAAGAGGACATAAAAAATATACTAAACTTAACAAAAGTAAACAAAGATTTAATAAAAAATATATTAAACTCTACTAAACTAAACTAAACAAAGATGACATAAAAATTGTACTAAACTAAACTAAACAAAATTAAACTAAACTAAACAAAGATGACATAAAAAAATATACTAAACTTAACTAAACAAACTAAAAAAAGATTAAATAAAAAATATACTAAACTTAACTAAACTAAACTAAACAAAGATGACATAAAAAATGTACTAAACTAAACTAAAATAAATTAAACTAAACTAAGCAAAGATGACATAAAAAAATATACTAAACTTAACTAAACTAAACTGAACTAAACTATACTAAACAAATATGACATAAAAAATATACTAAACTAAACTAAATTAAACTAACTAAACTAAACCAAACAAAGATGACATAAAAAAATATACTAAACTTAACTAAACTAAACTAAACAAAGATGACATAAAAAATAAACTAAACCAAACTAAACTAAACTAAACTAAACTAAACTAAACTAAATTAAACTAAAATAAACGAACAAAAAAAACTAAACTTGAATAAATTAAAATAAACTAAACTAAACTTGAATAAACGAAACTAAAATAAACTGAACTAAAATATACGATACTTAAATAAACCAAACTACACTAAACTAAACTAAACTAAACTAAACATAACTAAACTAAACGAAGATGACATAAAAAAACATACTAAACTTAACTAAATTAAATTAAACTAAACTAAACAAAGATGACATAAAAAATATACTAAACTTAACTAAATTAAATTAAGCTAAACAAAACAAAGATGACATGCAAAATATATATATTTTTGTATTTTAAGATCTACCCTCGATGAGCAATCCATCTTTAGAATTTGAAGCTGTACATCAGGAATATACAGTTTCATCAGGAATTGATGTTTTTAAAAATAGTTTTAAAATAAGTTACAAAATTGAAAACTAGAAAAAGAACAACCCATGAATATAAGGGAGATATAACTGACTCGGTCCGCCCATGATTATACATGCTTTGCAGACGGGTACTCCATTTATATAAGAAATATTCAGAATAGGTTATTGTATATGCGGTAATTGTACATCAGACAAATATTTCTTATTCACATGGAGTACCCGTCTGAAATGCATGTATAATCATATGGTAGGGCTGGCAGTGTCAGTTATATCTCCCTTCTATTCCTTACTCCCTAGTCAGGACAGATGGAGTAAAATGTACGCTAGATTGTGACGTGTGTATTTTCCTTGATCAACTACACTGATCAACTACACTGATCAACTACACTGATCAACTACACTGATCATTGCGTTATTTGTGCAGTAGTTGGAAAGGGGAAATAATTCTTGCCTCTTACGTTTTTTCAAAAGGTGAGACTTGATCTATTTTTTTAATGCTTTGATTCTGCGCCTTAATGTATATATATAAAAGGATTATATTTATATAATGTTGTATCCTAGATTGTTCTTAATAAGAATGAACAGTCCCTTGAATACAATCGGATGCCAGAGGATCAGTACAGCCCGAACCTTAGAAGAGTAGACACGTAAATATACACGTCCGTCTGCCACTATCGTTCCGGGACTTGTACAACATAAAGCGAACATACAGCATACAGAGGGAACCTAACTGGGCGAGCTACATAGAAGAAGATGAACCAAGTTCTTGTCATAGTACGCAACCCCGCCTACCTTGCAGATGTTGAGCTGGATGAGGATGAAGTTGATCCAGCAGACCTTACTCCTCTGGTCAGTGGGAATGCTCCTATTGTTACTGCTCCAGCCTCAGAGGATGAAGACGTAGCTGAGGATGTTGTAGAGGACAGGAATGATGATGAGGATATGGAAGATGTCCCACAGATACTCAGGGACATCATCAGTAGTCTGGAGGAACTCAATAAGGAGATGAGAAGCATCCTGTCCCCTGCTCCTGGAGACACTGGCTCCCATCAGTCCTCTGTTGTCCCCCGTATTGAGGTATGGGACACAGGAAGGGCTTGGAAGCATGAATACAAGCTGTATCCTGACTCTAGTAGAAAAGAGATCAGTGACAGGTTGTTCAACCAGGTGGCGGATCTGCTTCAGATCATGCATGAGTGAATCAGCCAACAAACCTGGAATGAAAGAGATAGAGAACTGATAGACGGACAGGGGCGTACGAGGGTTTTTGTTTAGGGGGGGGGCACAATGTGCGCGCGTTAGCGCGCAAAAAAAAATTTTTGGCCCCCCCCTTGGCAAATTGTGCCCCCCCCCCCTTAAAAAGCCCTTTTTTGAAAAAATATTAATACCTTTTTAAAATTTTTTTTGCCCCCCCCCCTCCCACCTGGACTTGTTTTGTTCACCATAAAAATACACCAAAAAGACTACATTTTTGGGTGTTACTAACCTTAGAGTCTAAAAATTAGTCCTTTGCTTGAAAAACTAACTTTTTGACTTTATAAATTTATCACTTAACTCCATCACAGCTAACTAAATCAATAATCACAGCATCATTAAAAATTATATTTTTACTAATAAACGAAATTTCTTCTGAAATTTTTAGATAGAATTTACTCAATCTACATATTCACCAGCTCTTTTAAGCTACAATTTTCTGGGATTTGTTTGCAGAAACATTTTAATGATTTTTTTCAGTAGAGAGCTCAGACAGCCTTATAGGGTGTAAAGCTATACGTGCAAGATAAGTCTGCTCTCCGTCATAGTACATCTTGTGTAATGAAGTATTCTCTTTAGAAGGCTAAAACTTTTCTTTCCTTGTATTAACAGTGAATTTAGACGAATCCTAAGTCTTTGTCATTGTCAGGTGTTACTTTCTAAACGTAGTTTCCCTTTAATTTTGTATTTTTGGAACTCCCAGGCTAGGTACACCACTGTGCCTGACCTGAGGAAGGGAAATGGAAGCAGATGTAATATTAAAAGAGCCTCCCCCATGGGTGCCCCCCTCAGTCTCTCAGGGGGGGCACGCATAAGACTTGGTAAACTAACCGAGAAAGTGCTTAAAGATCAAGCTACTGAACCTAACATGTAAAGGGATCAAGGCGGATCATTATGTCATCGGAATATCTCCATATTATAGTGTGTATGCATTTATGAATATGTAAATAAATGTTACAACATTAATGAAAGCATGTTTATTACTTTGGGTGTTAATTATTGCACTAGCAAGTAATTATATAAAGGTTTACTCCGTGTGATGGAGATAGCCCGAAGTATAATGTTGCCAGGTTGCAAAGATAAGTCATTACATAAGGGTTAGTTCCGAGTGATGGAAATAACCCGATGTGCAATGTTATCAGGTTGCAAAGATAATTGATCCTATACAAGTATATAACTTGAAGTGTGATCTTATCAAAGTTTGCTAATTTAAGTTTGCCAATTTATTGCACATTTTTAGTAGTAAGAGAATACTACAATAAGAAAGGAATTAAATGTATACGTATTAAAGGAATGAAATGTATAGGTATTAAAGGAATGAAATGTATACGTATTAAAGGAATGAAATGTATACGTATTAAAGGAATGAAATTTGATGAAAAGAATGAAATAAATATCTATGAAAGGAAAGGGAATGAAAGGTATATATTTATGATAGAAATGAAAGGTATGTATATATATTCAAGGGATGAAAGATACATGTATGAAAGAAATGAAATGTTTATATATATAAAAGGTATGAACGGTATATATATATGAAAGGTTTGAAAAGTATATATATATGAAAGGAATGAAAAGTATATGAATGAAAGGAATGAAAGGCATATATATATAAAAGGTATGAACGGTATATATATATGAAAGGTTTGAAAAGTATATATATATGAAAGGAATGAAAAGTATATGAATGAAAGGAATGGCAGAATGAAGGTATAAGAGAAACAGTTGAAGCAGAGAAGCAAAGAATTCAGGATAAAGATGAATAAATTTAAAGATTTGGTTCATTAAAAACTACAAAAAAACTATAAAACTAAAATGCAATGTCAAACTTGGATACAAATCTTAAGTTCTTGTGTTTAAAGATTACCTTTTTACCTTTAACGTCATAGTTTTTGTACACACTGAAATATTTTTACCATTTGATTTATTTTTTATATGCACAACCATATATCTGTTTGTTGTTAGATGTACAAACTGTTCAAAGAGAACAATGTAATCAAAATCAGATTATATTCAAATTTATGACTGTATCGTGTTCTTTTATTTATCATTACTTCAGGCAAACTTAATTCACATTTAACGGTTTTAATAAAAACAATTATTATCAACTTTACTTTCAGTATATCAACTTTACTGACACTGTCTTGCTCACCCACCTCTGACCCTTTAGTAAAAGTAAATTCAACCTAAAGTCTGACCGCGTCAACCTTGTTGCACCGGGCGACACAGTACAAACTGGGACGGAACGGTTGACCCGGCTCGGAAATTCAAATGTACTACTGCTGCCCGTGTGCTTGTCAAATTTTTTGCTTCATTCTGAATATCTAGTTGTTAGGTGTAACTCCAGAATTCTCGCATTGTGTCCAGCATTAAATACTCTTGATGGGTAGAGATGGGTTTTGTGAACAAAAGAAATTTTTAAGAACGATTTTTTTTGTAAAAAAAAAAATATCCCAACAAAATATAGTGACTTAAGAGTTCTTGAATACAGGTGGACTCAATATTTGGAAATAGAAAAACCCTGCCAGATAAGCAAGGACGTGATGTTAGGAGTGTTAAAAACGAAATTCCATAAAAAAAAGATTTTAAGTTTTTAAATATTTTTTTTATCGGTGTAAAATTACGATTTTTACTAGTCAGTTTTTTTCAGTAATTGCAATAATACTTTTGTAAAGAAATTATCATGTATTTCATTTTTAAAGTATATGCAGACGTTTTTTAACTTACAAAGGGACGGTAAGCAAAATTTCAAGTGGTCCCGCATGCTAAGATCCCATGACCGATTCACAACGGTACCCAAAAAGCTTAGTCTGATTAAGTTTAAATTATATATCAACATTCATAACTTAAAAACTGGCTATTTTTAATTGTGGCTGTATAAAAGTGACTTGCGCTTTTTTACTGTTAGAGTTTAAACATAGAGTAACCTTGAAAACCGACTGTATGTTCCACAGAATTGATCAAATAAAGATTTCAAGAATTACGCTTTTAATGAGGCTTTGCCCTCTTTGCATGGAGGTTGACTTGAAATTACGAGTCCCCTTTAAAAAAAAAGAGTTTTCTGATATTTCAATATGATCGTAAATTTGGTTTTTATTTACCTAAACTGCAGTTGTCAAGTGCTAGTTCTTGGTGCAGGTAAATACTAACACAGAACTACTTAATTACTAAAATAAGCAAAAGGGAAACCAAATTTTAAACGGATATTATTATCGATCAATGGTATTGATTATGATGACCACCCCCCTCCCCCTTGTCGTTGTTCAAAGCTGTAAGGGAAAAATCATAGATAAAGATAGATTGCGCATAAGACGATATTTTTCATCTTGAAAGATATAAATATACAGAGATGTTTTAAAGATATTCCTATTATATAGATTACCTAGGTCGTTTGTGAATATTGGCTGTTCTTATGTCATTGAGTACTTGTGGTGTACATGAGTTCTGTAGAGAGAAATTTAAGTCAGTTTAGTCCTTCTCATGTCCTTCTTCAGTTCTCGTCAATATGATATAATTCTCAGTGAAATACTGTTGTTCAAATAGTTCCATTCCCGGAGTTATTTTATACTCTATTATGAAATCCATTAAAACACCAAACAACCCCGCTTATCACTGAAGTACACTTTGACCCCTAGAAGTACGAGTTCGCGGACTGTACAATTCTTGGTGGTTTTGCGTAAATCTATCTATCTATGCTTATTTATTTATCTACGGGAAAAATGGAAAACAAGACTTCACTTCCAGAAATTTTTAGCTTTACAAGTTTTCCCAAAAAATAATATTTTTTTCTTCACAAATCACCGCTGTATGTTCTTTTTCCTCCTCTTTTATCTGTATAATTTTATTTTAACCCTTTGCAGGGTTATGATACAGTTAAAACTAGAAAACGACATTAGGATGACGACATCTTAGAAATTCTTCAGTGTATTTGATAGTGTTTCAAAGCATAATTTTAATAGACACTTGTTAAACCACTAATTTATTAAAATGGGTCTTTTTACACTGCACAATTGATGTGTTTCATGCTCGTTGGTTTTTTTAAGTTATAGCTGGATCTTAAAAGTCGTCTTCCTATTCCAGAGTTTTCTGGTTGATCACTGTACATACATCAATGTTTATATGAACACAGGAATTGAGTCTTTGCTTTTCCCTAAACTAAGATTTTCTAATTCCTATATCTTTGCAACCGTATGATAATATTTCAAACTTAGATTATTTGATCCAAAAGAATTTATAATTTTAAATATCTAAGGTTTACGCAATTGGATTAAGAGATATGGGGATAAAAAAACAGTTTTGGGGCAAATCTCAATTTCATCGGCAACTATAACTTTTCTACATTTACACTAGCTATAAAGGTATGGCGGGGGTAACTGCGGCTAGAACTCTAAGAAAACTTGGAATAAATGATGTTATGGTAATTTTAGCTCATATATTTTAGCATAATAAATGTTTACGAAGTACTATCAACGATAGCCTTTATAATAATAACTTTATGATGGACTTTTATACAATATTCTACATTTTTGACTATTATATGAACTCTGACCCATGAATTTTTTTAAAAACCATTATATGGCCTATCTGGAAAAACTAAAAAATATCAGAAAAAAGAACAATTAAATATGTGATTAAATATGTGATTAAATATGTGATTAAATATGTGATTAAATATGTGATTAAATATCGAAATTCGTTTCATGATAGATCCATATTAATAATTTTCTTTATGATCGGAAAAAAAACATATTCTTTGCAAATAAAGATTTATGTTGGACTTAACAGATGCATTTGATTTATTTACATTTTCATTTCTTGACGTTATCCTACTACACAAATTATCCCATTATTTAAAGAAATACACTTTATTATCAAACTAAATATTTTTACATTTTTTTAGCTTGTTGAGGGATCAAATAGAATTGGAGGGAGGGTCAAAGATGTACAGTTTGGAGGTGTACATGTAGAGGTAAATGTACAGTTTGGAGGTGTACATGTAGAGGTAAATGTACAATTTGGAGGTGTACATGTAGAGGTAAATGTACAGTTTGGAGGTGTACATGTAGAGGTAAATGTACAGTTTAGAGGTGTACATGTAGAGGTAAATGTACAGTTTGGAGGTGTACATGTAGAGGTAAAAGTATAGTTTGGAGGTGTACATGTAAAGGTAAATGTACAGTTTGGAGGTGTAAATGTAGAGGTAAATGTACAGTTTGGAGGTGCACATGTAGAGGTAAATGTACTGTTTGGAATTGTACAAAATGTGGCAGTCATACAGTTTGGAACAGTGCAGTGTGCAATGTGCAATGTGCGATGTGCTGCAAGTACAATTTAGAGGAAAATGTGCTCATGTAGAGGAAAATGTGCTCATGTTGAGGAAATAGTAATATTGGAGGTGTACAACTGTACATTCAAACTTTTACTGTTCAGTAAACAAATTGAACATTTGTAAAGTTATGAACATGCTAAGGCAAGTGTTCATTAGCCAGCTTGTACCCAACTGATATACAGTGGTAGGCGATTATATTAATACAATGAAGACGACATTAGATTTCATTTTGATTTATATGAAGCTGTCAATTAAAAAATTCTTTTTGATTACTTGTAAACTTTCAATTCAAAAAAAACTTGTTAACAATTAAAACTTAAATAAAAAGCCGTCTTCATTTTATTGATAAATTTGCCTGCCCCTGTATATCTGTAAAATGTGTCTGAAATGACAAAATAGCATATTTCCAATATTGTATCCCCGAAATCCATAGTTTGAAAATGATTTGATATGTCCTAAATATAACCTGTGTAAAATGGGCCAATCTATAAAGGAATTAAGTTTTTGATATGTATATATACCAAATTTTATAAATATATATATACCAAATTTTATAAATATATATATAACCAAATTTTGTAATTTCTATTTGCATACAAAACTTAAATTATTTGATCCAACATAATTAATAGTTTGAAATATCTAAGGTTATCGACATTGGGTTGCAAAGATATAGGAACTCAATTCCTTTAAATTATAGGTTGGAGCTAACTGGGTTCATTTCTCCCAAATGGGTGAAAATGATACAAATTCTGTAGAGGAGATGTGTAAATCTGGTGGTCTCAACATGATCCAGGATCCATACGATGATTATATATTTAGGTAAAACTTTACAAAAAACATTAAACATTTATGAGATTTTTATGACAAAATAGATAATTATCTACAGTGATAACTAGAAAACTCTGGACTTTTAGAATCAAGATATAACTTTCAAAGTCTAATACGCATGAAACACGGTAATTGTGCAGTGTAAACAGACCCATTTAATTAAATTGGTGTTTTAAGAAGTGTCTCGTATTGTAACAACATCAAATACACTTATACGTATTTCTATAATGTCGTCTTCCTATTCCATTGTATTTTACTACAGATAGATCAAATGTCTTATCTTATAAGTAAATCAACTAAGGAATTGAGTCTTTGTCACAAACTCAAATTCAAATCATATTCATAGGAACTTGATGGTGTACACCTTTTTTATTTTACACTTATATTATTTGATTTTACAGATTTAAAAGTTTGAAACGCTATAATGCTCTTCCCTCTACTACGAATCAATTCTTCTCAAACTTCAATCGGTGTTGTTAAACTTATGCCAAATGAGATATTGATGATGACCTAAAAACAAATTCACTTTTCTGGGTTTAAAACTTTTAATTCATTTATCTAGACTACAAATTATCTTTAAAATTGGTTATGCTTTTGCTACAAGTTCCCTTGTTTTTTGGGACGCCCAGTAGAACAAAGAAAGAAATTGAGTCTGATTTTCTAATCCATATATCTTTGCAACATAATATTGTAGACCTTGATATTTATTACTATTAATTCTGTTAGAATAAAAATAATCTAAGTTTGACATATCAAATGTTTAAGCCGACAGGTTAACAGGATTGGAAAACCTGAGTTTGTGGCGAGGACCCGATATCTTTGTAAAGTTTTTTTTAAAACCCTAAATGACTTGCCTAAAAATGCAGATAACTGATTAGATGCTCGTTTGAAACTATGGTTTCATGGAGAATGTTTTATATGTTCTGTAGAGAGGGTTGTTAATCGTTTTTAAGTTCTGTAACTGTAGGTAGGGTTGTTAATCGTTTATATGTTCTGTAGGGGGGGTTGTTAATCGTTTATATGTTCTGTAGGTAGGGTTGTTAATAGTTTATATGTTCTGTGTAGGGTTGTTAATAGTTTATATGTTCTGTAGGCAGGGTTGTTAATAGTTTATATGTTCTGTAGAGAGGGTTGTTATATAGTTTATATGTTCTGTAGAGAGGGTTGTTATATAGTTTATATGTTCTGTTACAGGGTTGTTAATAGTTCACATGTTCTGTAAGTAGGGTTGTTAATAGTGTACATGTTCTGTAGGTAGGGTTGTTAATCGTTTATATCTTCTGTAGGGGGGGTTGTTAATCGTTTATATGTTCTGTAGGTAGGGTTGTTAATAGTTTACATGCTCTGTAGGTAGGGTTGTTAATAGTTTATATGTTCTGTAGGTAGGGTTGTTAATAGTTTTTATGTTCTGTAGGTAGGGTTGTTAATCGTTTATATGTTCTGTAGGTGGGGTTGTTAATAGTTTATATGTTCTGTTACAGGGTTGTTAACAGTTCACATGTTCTGATGGTAGGGTTGTTAATAGTTTATATATTCTGTAGGTAGGGTTGTTAATCGTTTATATGTTCTGTAGGGAGGGTTGTTAATCGTGTATTTGTTCTGTAGGGAGGGTTGTTAATCGTTTATACGTTCTGTAGGTAGAGTTGTTAATAGTTTACATGTTCTGTAGGTAAAGTTGTTAATAGTTTACATGCTCTGTAGAGAGGGTTGTTAATAGTTTACATGTTCTGATGGTAGTGTTGTTATATAGTTTATATGTTCTGTAGGGAGGGTTGTAAATAGTTTATATATTCTGTAGAGAGGGTTGTTAATAGTTTATATGTTCTGTAGGTAGGGTTGTTAATAGTTTACATGTTCTGTAGGTAGGGTTGTTAATAGTTTATATGTTCAGTAATTCGTTATAATGTTTTTTTTTCTAAAAGTGATAGTTACTTTTAAAAAAAAAAACATTCGTTTTGAACTTATAAGAAACGAAAGATGATCGTTTTTTTTAAAAGATCGGTTTAAAAAAATTTCGCTGATGAATTTCAGGTTTTTGACAATTCATTTCAATTTTTTTTCAGGAAGATAAGCATAAGGATGTTATCTTAAACGTTTTTTGACCCAAGGGGTTTCTGATCTAAGGATTTTCCTACCAAAAAAAATGTATTAACGATCGTCAAAAATTAAAGTCGACCTATTTTCGTTAACGAAACGCCGAACTTTTTCAAAAACGATCGATTTTAAAAACGACCATTTCGTTTTCGTTTTTTTCTTTGTCGTTTTTAAAAAAAAAACTCTCGTTTTTTTTTAAAAAGTGAAAATGATCCAACCCTTTCTGTAGGTATGAGGGGAAGAATGTGACTGCTGAGGCTAATGAAGGATTTGAACGCTATGAAGAAGCACTGGAACATGTTAGAACTATAGGGGAGAGGAAGGAACAGGTGAAAATAAAAACTATTTTGAAATTCTTTTTTTTTACAGGGAAAGTTTTTAAAAGCGATCTTTTACATTTTATTTATTAATATTTTGTGAAAATTGGGTGGCAATGCAATAACCAATTTCAAACTAATAAACAAACATGAAAGTATGTTCATTGTTTAATTTTTCCAAACAAATAGCGTTTCAGTAGATTAACCCTATCCTGATTGGGCTATTTTTGTCTAATATAGATGGCCTGGGGTGGGGGTGTGCCACCCCCTCCTAAGATTTTGCTCTTAGAGTTTAGATAGGGAAGTGTGATCTATTTCCATAGTCCAACTTGCAAGGCCTGCTCATTAAAACAAATTTTACTTCTATCATTAACGGTCTTGAGGGTCTTTAATTTTCACAAATATTAACATATGACACATGTTTGTATATCCATTTTTCAACGCCTTTCCAAATATTTAAGTCTTAGCCTTGCAGCTTAATTAATAACAATTTTTATTGTTGAAATAATGAAGAAGTTTTAACGTTCTAATGTAAGCCATTTTTAAGTTATTCAGAATAAACCACAAGAGGGGGAACACCCCCCCTCCCTCTCATTATAGAGTTAATAAGGATATATCTGACATCCTTGATCAGTCAAAAGTTTAAATGATACATGATTCATTGTTCCAATTTTTCCAGCTATAAACATCCCTGCTAATTTTTCTAATTTTTCCAGTACGGTGAACCTGATGTGAATTTCCGCGTTGGATTATCCATGGCGAGCTGGAGACCTTTAACCCCAGTAGAGAGAGCAGTGGAGTTCTTTAGCTTTGATTTCGAGTTCGGAGAGGAACCTGAGGAAACAGGACTCAGGAGCAATTATCAAGTAAATCATGATCACAACAAACTAAAATAAATTTTACGCAAGATTTTTTTCTTCGATGTTTTCAATTATTAGTTCCCTTATTGAAGATCTATTTAGAAGAAATAAATGTTTTAGATTTCTAAAGTTATCGGTTGTTCAGATTTTTTTTAAACACCAACCAGCAGTTTGACCGTCCTTCACATCTAACCTATGCATCAACAAAAATATTTATTGCAAAATTTATTCACGACTATATAGTTGAGAAGGAGAAGAAGGATTTGGGCGTTCTAGTGTAAACCACAACGGGGAGGGGGGGGGGTGGAAAACACCCCCTCTCCGATCAAAATAGGGATTAAATAGAGAAATGTCAAAAGTTTCTATCAATTAAAATCACCATATCATTTTAAAATTTGTCTTAGTCATAATTGGTGAGTTGTTTGGAAGTTCTTAAAAATGAGTCAACATCTTTTTAAATTATTCTCTCATGTAAACTTCTTAGGTGCTGAAAGAACACAAGAGACTGGACCAGTTTGTATCTGACAAGGAATGATTTAAAAACCTTTTTGAATAAAATGAATTTAAAATCAGTAAAAATATTACGGATTTGAAGATTATTTGAAAACATTTTTGGGGAAATCTTCATTAGTTGAAGCCATTTATGCAGACCTTCGATATTTTTCAGGTTTTAAAGATTAGAAAATAATATTTTGTGGCGAATTTTATTCTTATATTAATATTAATCCATAGATTTTTCAAAATTTTATAAAAAAAAAATAAAAATTTTTAATTTGAATTATACATTTTACTTCCCGTTTTTAAACCATGTTAAAGAGAGGTTACAGTCAAATTATCCATAATATGGTGGAAAAGGATCTGGATTTGAAGGTAAGGGGAAAAGTCCTTTGTTTAAAGGTAAGGGGGAAAAAACCTCAATTTAAAGGAAAAGGGAAAAGTCCGAAATTTGAATGTGAGAGGAAAACCTGGAATTAAAGGTAAAGGGAAAAAACCTGAACTTGAAGGTAAGGGGAAAAGACCTGTATTTTTATGTTAGGGAAAAACCTCAATTGGAAGGTAAGGGGAAAAGGACCTGGAATTGAAGGTAAGAGTAAAAGGATTTGGAATTAAAGGTAAAGGGGAAAAGGACCTGGAATTAAAGGTAAGGGGAAATTGACCTGGAATTAAAGGTAAGGAAAAAAGACCTGAATTTGAAGGAAAGGAGAAAGTCCAGGATTTGAAGGTTAATATATCTTGGCATCCAAAGAATTCAGTTAATTCCTTGGATATCTTATACAACTCACTAGTCAAGCATAACCGATTTTAGCCCTGGTATAATAATGTTTTTTTCCATACAAAACTTGATCTTTGTGTAATGCATGATTTGATAAATCTATAAATAAATAATATTTTGTATTTTGACTCAAGTGCAAGACGACATTAAATATAATCTCTATTATTCTGCTACAGGGTGTCCCACGAAACATGACAGTTGGAAGATGGTTTTGAATGTCTTCTTCCATACACTGTATTTAATATTAAAGTCCTGTTAATAAAGCTGACGACTCATATGCAGGGTGTCCCACGAAACATAACAATTGGTAAATTGTTTTAAATGTCGTCTTCCATACATTGTATTTTATATTGAAGGCTGTTTGCAGTTTATTTCGTTTAAAAAAATCTTTTGATCAAATCTGTAGCAGATTTGTCATAAAAAAGTACTCAAAAAAGTTATACTGACAATGATTGTATTTGGACGCATAGGCTCTTTTAACTAAAAATTGTATTTTGTGTATAACTTATATATATATATGTATATATATATATATATATATCCATAGACACAGTGTTTCGTCCTATTAGGACTCATCAGTATGGCTCTAATCATCAGATTTTGATTTTGCAGTTGATAGGGCTTAGATAATATTTTATATAATCTAAGGATATATATATATATACTATAATTTCTTTTATCAAGGAAAATGTGAACTTTTTCTTAAATGATTATGTTCGAGAAATTCACTATAACGAACCCGGGGAAAAAAAGGTTTGCATACTTTTACTTTTTTTATGAAAAAAATCATACAAATCTATTTGAACCCTCCCCCCCCCTGTAGACATGTTTTGTTTAATCGGTATAGACTGAAGTGTAAAACATATTCCAAGCCGAATTTTTCTGGCCCCGCTCATTAATTGTCCTCTAACTTTAATCATCGCGGGAAGGTTTAAAACATGTTAAAAAAAAAGTAAAATTATAAATATGTCAGTTTTGACTAAATATATTGAACGATACAATTTGCAATACATGTTTTGATAATTTTTTTTGAAAAATTGACTAAACTTTTTATTGTAATTCAATACTTAATTCATAAGAAAGACAGAAAAAGATTTTTTTTAAATTGCCTATTTTTCAAGAAGTTTCAATGTGAACTAACGGGTAAAGTGGAGCAAAAAAATCTCTCCCCCCCCCCCTTAGCCTTTCTAAATTAAATTTGAAAATATGTCTCCTCCTTTAACAGGAAAAAATTCAACCATTGTGTGTGTGATTATTTAGATACGTGTTAAAACAAAGAACAAAAAGGATGGATCAATAAATATTTACAGGTAAAGAGAAAATCTCGGGGGAAAATTTTAAGAATTAGAAAAAAAACTTTTAGTATAGTTATCAGTTTCTTTCCATCATAATCCTAAACAATTTTATTCTAAAATTATTTTTTTTTCTCAAAAATATAATTCGTTGTTTAGAGCTGATTATGTAATTGTAACATTTAGTATCGGAGTTTTAGCATCAAACTTTGTAAAGGTATTATTCTAATATTCTAATCTTCAAATCTTCTAATCTTCATATCTTCTAATCTTCTAATCATCTAATCTTGTAATTTTGTAATCTTAAAATCTTCTAATCTTAAAATCTTCTAATTTTCTAATCTTCTAATATAATAATCTGCTTTTCTTCCATTTTCTTATCTTCCAATCTTCTCATCTTCTAATCTTCTAATCTTCTAATCTTCTAATCTTCTAATCTACTAAATTTCTAATTTTCTAATTTTCTAATCTTCTAGTTTTCTAATCTTCTAATCTTCTAATCTTCTAATCTTATAATTTTCTAATTTTCTAATCTTCTAGTTTTCTTATCTGCTTATCTTCTAATCTTTTAATCTTTTAATATTTTAGTTTGAACCTAAACTGCCAATCTGGAAAGAAGAGATAATGTATATGTACCAGATGGTCAGGTATTTTCTATGGTATCCCAAACAACATTTTTACAAATGACAATTTCCCAAGTGGCAACTTTCCAAATGGCCGGGGCCAAGGGTTGCGACTAGAACAGGCTGGGGACTGAGTGCTGCAGCTAGGACAGGTTTGGGAAGTTCCTGGCTGGGAAATTTTACAGTTGGAAAGTTCAAAATTGTCCCTGATGAAGTTGCTCTTGGGAAAAATCCTTTGGGAAACTACCTAACATCTTTGCTATTAGTTAAAAATACACGTTTTGTGCCATTGTGAACTTTGGCAAGTTTTTTGTGTATGTAAACTACACTTCAGAAATGTAAACTGGATTTGGAATGTTAAAAGATGTAAATATCAATGTATCAATGTTACAGATAAATTTTGATATACAAAAACATAAACACTCCCTTGCAGTACACATTCTGCTGTAGGAAATTCGTTCTATAACTTGACATCATACTTCCAATTGTTTGCAATATCAGCATGGGAATCTCATATTTAACATAATGACAAAATGACCTCGTTTGCCGCTCTAAAAAAAAAAATTTTAAACTCAGGAAGTACAGCAAAAGTCCTTAGTATTGTTCTTTATCATTTTTTAAATAAGTGAGCAATGTCTTTCAGTTAAAAGTCATTAGATTTTCACAGGGTAAACTTTAGTTATACTTGTACCCTACCAGAGACCCAATTTAATGCATTTAAGCTACCACCGTAAGTTTAAATTTTAATCACCAATTCAAATCCTTAACCCTATATTGACCCCCCCCCCAGCGTGTCCTGGTTTTCAAGTACCCCAGCGGGGATAGGGTTAATCGGTGATTCAAATTTGAACCAGTAGTTTTGGTAATGATGCAGATCAAATTCATTTAAACTCTGTCTCAGGTATATCAAGATATTTGTCAAGTTTCCCTCAAACATTACAGCTTTCTGGGATGATAACCACTATATCATGTATGTCGACCCAACTCAACGGGGAAATTACCAGGTTCAATTTTTATCAATTATTTACTTTTGAAAATGTTTTTTTCGTTCATCGTTAGTACTAAGCACCAAACTACCAAAAAGTTTTGTTGCTATTCATACAGTGATTACCAGAAAACTGTAAAATATGAAGACAACATTAAAGCAATACCAGAGCGCATTTGTTGTCTGGGTCTGTTTGCACTGCAAATTTACTGGGCCTCATGTTCATTAGACTATTTTTAAAGTCATAAGTTGAGTCTAAAAGTTTACTTCCTATTCCAGAGTATATCTTGTTATTACTGTTTCAAAGTTTTGGATAACTCTTAATCATAAATTAGAAAACCTTATCACCTATTTCTAACCATTTAATTTAACCATGGTTTAGGCCTTAAGTTGTGGATTTTGATGCCATCATTTGTTTGTGACTGCCAACAAATATGGTCCCACATGGAAGGATTTGTGGGCCCCAATACCAAACCCTAGTTCTATTCAATTTTATCTGACATTGCATGCCAAAATAAATATTTGATTTTTACAGATCTGGCAAAACCTTGAATCGAGGGGTAAATATTTCCCGACAGGAACCAACCTTCTTCTAGTCACAGTTCTAGGTAAATATGATTTAGGTAAACAGAGGAGTTACTAATATTTAATGTAGTGGTATTCAGTAATAATCTGACGTTATGATATTCAAATATATATATCATAGTTATGACAAGTAAATTTTTTTTCCGATTTACAATTTTTTTTTGTAATTTGTATTTTGTAATTCTGAGCTTCCCTGAACTTGTCCTGGGGTTATTTATGCTTGAAATACATAACAATTGTTTGATTAGGAAATAACTGGGAAAGAGTTCAACATCTTACCAAAAATCAAATCAAACATGAACTTTTTGCTGTCCTGAGGTAAATTTATGATACCTCTTTTTTTGTAAATACAATACGCTGTAGGACTGCAATAATTTTAAATCTTATGCAGTTTAAAGCACTAGTGTTTTAAAGTCATGTTACTGCTTAGAAGTATTATTCAATAACATGCACTTGGTATTCCAAAAAGACTATTTCAATGTTTCACTCAAAAGAAAAGAGTTTAGGATAAAATTTTGACTCCGTCTTACTTTTCGCTTTGTGAAAGAATGAAGCAATTATAGAGTTGTAGGAACAAAGCAAGCACAAGGTATAAGACTGTACACAGTGATCTGAAGATTGCCAGCTTTTGCACAAAAATTGATGAGATACAAATGCCTTTGAAAATCTGAAGTCTCGTCCTTTCATTACCCTGTACATTATGTGAAATCTCATATTTAGCTTTTCTTTGATTTTTGCAGGAATATGTACGGAGATAAAGCTGTAGAACCTGAGGATATTTTGATCCCAGACTGGAACCATAATCCTCTTTTCTTCGGATCATATTCAAACTGGCCAATAGGTTAGTTCAGACACCGGAGGGGATATTTTTTTGTCATCAAAAAATATTTTTCTCCAAATGTTTGTCAAATTATTTTTCATCAATATTTGTTTTAAAAAAGCAGTGCTTGAGATTTTAATTAATGCGATACGGGGAAAAAATCAATCATAAAACAAACTTTAAGGTTAACCCTACCTCTGCTGGGGTACTTGAAAACCAGGATATGCTGGGGGGAGGGGGTCAATTTGACCCCCCTCTAAATCCCATGTTTAATGTCCAAATATGACAAATGATACATCATTGGAAAGCTCTTGAGCTCTACTTTTATAATCTGCAAAAAAATTCAAATTTGCAAAGATTGATTTTTTAATCGCAAAATCCAGTTATATTAGTAAAACTGTTTGCAAAAAAAAAAATTGTCCAAAAAATGAAAAATTATACATATTTGAAAAGCCCTTGACCATGCCATTTCAAATATGCAAACTTTTAAATAACCTGATTTTTAATCAAGAAAAACTAAAAAATCAAATTTCCTTTGACAGGTTGTTTGCAAAACATTTGCAATTTTTTTTCGCAAAACTTGTGCAATTCGTTTCCTTATGTCAAAGGTTTTCCAAAAAGCTAAATTTTATCAAAATCTGACAAGTGGAAGGGGGTCAAAACGAAGATTTAGTTTGTTACAGTAAAAAGCAGCCATTTAGGCAGTGTGCCTGAGGAGTCAGGCAGTTAGTATTAAAGCCCGGTTTTAGGCCTAAAGGGAGGGCTTTGTGTATGTAGGAAAAGTTTCAACAGCCTCAGACCTATACTTTTTGAGTTATGTTTAAAAAAACTACTGGGGGGTCAAATTGACCCCCCCCCCCCAGCAGGAATAGGGTTAACTAAAATTTCGATGACAAATCCATACTACTAAAAACCTAGCTATATTGGAGTCTTTAAAAGCAATAATTTGTTCAATAGATTTTGTTGTGACAAGAAATGGGGGGGGGGAAGGCGGTTTTAGTTACAATTATTGTTTAAGAAAACTGAATTTAGTTAAATTAGCACCATACAAATTGTCTTTGATTCAAGTCTTAATTTAGACTTGGATTAATTTGTATTGCTTTCCATGAATCATATTTCTTTAACTAGGTTGACAACAAAATGGCCCAGAGAATTAAAGACGTTTTCTAGTTGTCTTTTAATTGTCAAGAAAATCTTAGATTTTATTTTTTGTCAAAAAATTAAAAAATTATTTTAATTTCAATCTGTTCCTTAGGGGTGACAAAAAATACCTTTAAAAACTTAGCCGCTCCAGTTGGAAGATTATATTTTGCAGGTATCATAACTTGCATTTTTGTTTCTATTAAAAAGGGTAAAACTATTAAGTCCCTTCCTAATTAACCCTATTTATGACCCTCAGGTAAGTCTGAAATCGGGTCCCTGGGAGACCCAACGGTGGGGTATTTTAGGGGGGGGGGGGTGACTGGTTTTGTCAAAATATTCCTCTTAAAATGCATTTGCCTTGTGTTTCATGATGAAGATGTACGAAATGAATACATTCTGATATTCTAATTTACAAACATAAAATAGTTTCAATAGAACTGATTTATAATGATTTCAATGTTAAATTGATTTTCCCGTTCATATACCTAAATCCTTGAATGGATCCTGAAAGATGTAGGGGCGCCGCGCTGCCTGCCGAAGTTTTGGTCTCTCATGCTTGTATAAAATACGCATTTTAAGAGTTTTCACGGAAATAACAAGTTTTAGAACTTCAATGCAACAATACTAAAACTCTTCTCTTCTCTCTCTCAAACAAATGTTTGAGCTCCCGGGCCTTATTTGCCTTGAATAAGAGGTTGGTGTTAACTAAATATCGCTGTACCCCTACCTCCCTGATACTCCCACCTATTTTGGGAAAAGGAGATGTCTTAATAGGGTTAAACCTTCTCTCTTTAGCTAAAACCAGAGCAAACTAGAGGTGAAGTTTAATTGGTCCGCGTAGTTCAACTACTTCTTCTTTTTTCATCAGGTGAAGCATGTAGCGAGGATTTCCCAGGCTATCTTCACGGAGCTGTACAAAGGTATTTTTAGACAACATTTTATTTTTTCTCTTTTTGTGACTTAAAAAATATAATCTTTACATGACAAGGTTAGTACAGTTGTTATAATTCTTCTCATAGTATCTTGATTATCGACCAAACCTGCATGTTCTTGATAATTTTTTTAAGTTTTTAAGATTTGTTGAAAAATTGAATCTCTCTTGTGAATTCAATCAATTCAGTCTATTCAAAACACTATGAAAGGGCCGGGGGATAGAGTTACAGACAATATTTTTAAACATAGAAATAATTAAATTTTTGCAAGGATGAGAAAGTTTAAAATCATAGTATTTTCAGGCCGAGGCGTATTCAGGGGGGATTTGAGAGCTAAGCCCTTCCTGGACCAGTAAAATCCCCCCCAAAAGGGGAAAAAATTAAGCCCCCCCTCTTAAACATATTCCTGAACACCCCCTGTTTTCAGGGTGTCCCACTTATCTTATATATAAAGCTTGAATTTCATGAATGACAATGTTTTATGTAAATTCAATGAACGCTTAGACGTCATCACTTCTTTTAACTTTGCAATCGTGAAATTATTACAGAATTTATTTTTTGGTGATAAGGTGCGGTCAAGACGGCGTGTTTAAAAAGTCCAGCACAGTAAATAACTTTTTTATAGATAAAGCTACAAATCTAAAATTGATTCATATTAAAAACTGTAAATTTCTAGTGGTGAATCTACTTTTTATTTCTAGTGGTGAATCTTCTGTTTATTTCTGGTGGTAAGGAATATCTTGTTTTATTATATAGATAATAATAAAACTAACAATTAAAATCATTATTATTCTCTTTTGTAAATAGCTATATAAACATGTTAATATACTGTGAACCAGAAAACTCTCAAATATGACTTTTAGAATCAAGTTGTAAATGTACATTAATGAACATAAGACATAGCAATTGTGCAGTGTATACAGGTCCATTTCACTCAATTTTAGATTTTAAAAGTGTCCAGGAAAACTATTTGATTCGTAAATTGTAACAACATCAAATACACTTAATTATTGCTAAATATAATGGCGCCAATTGTAAGTTGTATTCCATTGTTTTCTGGTTATCACTGTAGCTGTGATTTTGTCAATTTGTAAATTTCCCCCCTAAATTTTATTTTAGGTAAAATATCTTCAAGTACATTTATTCATTATAGATATCATAAAATATACCATGAATTTATAAAGTTTTCAAAAAATATTGTAACTGTAAATTACAATGATAAATTTGATAACATAAATTTGATGATTTTAAATGATACAGAAGTAATCTTTGTAATTTTCAAAATTATAAATAAAGTTTTTTGTTTTTAAATTATTTCATGTGTTTTGCTATTGGAGTTAAATCTATCAGTCAATTGTTCATAAATAAGTTTTCCCGATTAGGCTATATTTGGGGATTGGGGAGGGGGGTACAGGCTTTCGTCGAAAAATGATCGATATTGATCGCTACTAATTTTACTTTTATTCTTACATTTGCGAACATTTGCTAAAAACGACTTATACCAAAGAACATAGCGTCCATACAAATTCAGAAAGTTGCAACATTCGACTAGAATGAGGGAGGGAAGGCAACCTCCCCCGCACAGCTTCCAAACCTCATTTTACCTATTTTTGGGGCAGTGTGGGTCCCCATAGGCTTCCGAACTTCCCCCAAACAATCTTTCGTTTCTAATCGTCAATTTCTACTTAAACAGTGTAAGCATCAAATCAGTTCCATGCAAAAGTAGGTGTCCGAGATGAATCTTACAAGAATCAATAGATGGTTTGTCAAAAATATCCACTCCTTTCCTAACCTTTCTCATTCCATTTGTCATATTTTAATAGCATATTTCTGACAATGGGTCCTAAACATTTCCAAACCCTGCTTGGCAGTGACTTTTATTTTCCAACCTGTAAGAATATATATAGTGAATATGAAAAAGCTGTATCATTAATTCGCACTTATTTCACAATATAAATTATCAGAAAAATTTGACACCTTTTCATGGAGCGCACACAGTAACACTCTTTTATGCTTAATTTAAATTTATGGCGCCAAGCATAGAGAAAAGAACCGAAGAGATAAAGCTTACCAAAGCTTACCTCAGATGTACACAACCGACCACCTTATTGATTAATTAATAGGGTGGTTGGTTGTGTACATCACAATATGTTTACGTATCTAACACCGCACACATGTATATAGAGTGAATAGTGATCATATTTCTTGTGGCTGAATAAACGTAGATCAGAGATACGAGAGTTACAGAGATCGATTATCAGCTAAAATATGCGATATTTTCCACAATATGTTCAAGAATTGTACACGACCAATCAGCAAACATCTGTATTCAGGGATATTTAAGGATCCTTTGGATACAAAAGACAAAATCTTCAAAAAAGACTGAATTCATAAAGGTTATGTTTTATGTTATAAATTGGAATATTGATTTAAAAGTTATAAAACTTAACCCTTGAATGGGTATTATATTCAACAAGTGGCCGTGAGATGGCACTCTTAAAAACATAGCATGTCGTGTCGGGTCAACTTAGACCTATGTAGCCCACCCTGTGAAAGGAGATAAGCAGTCTGTGTAGTCTGTGATGTAGATAATTGAATATTTATAAAGATAGTTAGATAGACACTTAATATGGCTTGTAAACACATGTTCCAGTTAACCTTATCCCTGCTGGGGTACTTGAAAACCAGGATATGCTGAAAGGGGGGTCAATTTGACCCCCCCTCTAAATCCCATGTTTATTTAGGCCTAAAGGGAGGGCTTTGGGTATTTAAGAAAAGTCAGAAAATTTCAACAGCCTCAGACCAATACTTTTTGAGTTATGTAAAAAAAACTAAAGGAGGGGGGGTCAAATTGTTGTGTGCGGTGTTAGTTTGTTTATGTTAAGACAAGAATGACAAAATATTGCATCATGAGAAAATGAACTATATATCTCTGGAATTATATTGTCAAATCGTCAAATGTTAGCATTGAACATCATCGAATTCTTTTTATATAACGAAAGCAATTCTAATACATAAAATCTCCCTCAGAAATACGATCACTCTATAGCCATATACAAGTGTATACAGTGTTTTAGATACGTAAACATATCGTGATGAACACAACCAACCACCCTATTAATTCATTAATGTAAACAACCAACCACCCTATTAATTAAGTAATAGCACCGTAAGCTTTACCTCTCTTCATTTCCTTTCTCTATGGCGACAAGCTAGGTATCAAATTAAAGAATAGATTCACAAAAGAGAAACAGAATATAAAAATGTATGATCAGCTCTTTTTAAAATTTTGTTAAAATTAAAATAATAAAATAAATCTGAAAAATGATATATTTGTGCTTAACATTCTGAATTTAACCCTATCCTAATAAAGATGGAGGGGGGGGGGATAATTAAAAGGAAATCAGAACAAATTTGAAAAACAGTTATTTTTACTTTTGACAAATATTAATTAAGAAATTGGAATCTGCTGTTTATTTTAAAAAACAATTCTGGACTATTTTTGTTTTTGGGCGTTCTAGTATAAACAGCTTTTAAATTGTGGAGAAAAAATCACAATCACAAAAGGGTTAACACAACTAATTATTATTTGCTAATAGTATCCTCTAAAGCGATCAAGACGATTAAAAAGAAATCTTCTACGAGGCAGACTCAGTCTTCGACGAAAACCATTAAAGTATCCAAAATTCGTCCTACCGAACTGAAAAGAAAAAAATTAAATAAGTAATGTCTACATGTCCCTGTACCTGTACCTGCACCTGCACCTGCACCTGTACCTGTACCTGCACCAGCACCTGTACTTGTACCTGTACCTGTACCTGCACCTGCATCTCAACCTCTATCTCTACCTCTACCTCTCCACCTCTCTACCTCTCTACCTCTCTACCTCTCTACCTCTCTACCTCTCTACCTCTCTACCTCTCTACCTCTCGACCTCTCGACCTCTCGACCTCTCGACCTCTCGACCTCTCGACCTCCACCTCCACCTCCACCTCCACCTCCACCTCCACCTCCACCTCCACCTCTACCTCTACCTCTACCTCTACCTCTACCTCTACCTCTACCTCTACCTATACCTCTACCTCTACCTCTACCTCTACCTCTACCTCTAACTCTACCTCTGTGGGTTGAATAGTGAGCTGTGGAGAATAAATGCGGGGTCTAATCGCAAAGTTTTCATTTTCTTCGACGGTTGGATATATTCCTAATAAATTGAAATTAAAAAGATGTTTTAAAGGGACTGTAGGCTTAATTTTAAGTAACCTTTCATATGAAGAGTTTGAATTCCTGATTTACAATGGTACCCTTTGACTGATCAAGGATGACAGGCTTTTCCTGATTTATATCTACGGAAAGCCATGTAATTATATGTTTAAGTAGTTTTCGTATTTAATTTCATAAAGTGGAATAAATAAATATTCACTTTGATTTTGTGAAAACTGCATGGGACATACCATATTATGTTTTTTTCATGTAAATCTGACTTCTTCCGTATATTTTGCAAAGTACGCTAGCATACACTTCAGTTCTACGACTTTTTACACAACAAATATGAGACAGATATACTGAATACTGTCCTCTATGATCAGTTCAAGGTTAAGAGGGTACTGTTGTGAATCAGGGAACAGGGAACAGTGAAAAGAACTTATTAGAAGTGGCATTTCATATAAAAATGTGGTGCATAAATATCAAATCAAGCATATGAACAAAAAAAAGCAAATGAATAACTTATTTTAGAATATACTTATAAGATAATTGAGCAAATAAAAAAAACATCTTTTTGTATCTATAAAATTGGCTTGTCTGTCTGTTTGTTTGTATCCAATAAACGTAAAAACGGCTGAACCGATCGGGCCCAAATTTTTTGTGGGACATCATGTGACCACAGGAAAGGTTTATGAAGGATAAAAATTTTTTAAAAAATGTGTTTTGAAGCTTTTTAATTTTGTAAAAAAAATTTAAATTCTTGAAAATCCGCAAAATTTTTTTCTTCTTTGTTTTAAAATTTAAACACAAAGAACATGTTCACAATTTAAATAGAAGATGGGCGCGAATCACCCTAAAAGCCTAGTATAATTAAATTTAGCTTGTCTGTCTGTCTGTTTGTTGATTGTTTGTATATAATAAACGTCAAAACAACCAAACCAATCAGTCCCAAATTTTGTGTGAGACCTCACGAGGCCGCAGGGAAGGTTTATGAATTATCAAAATTCAAATATTTGTCTCCAATCAAAATTGTGTAAATTTTGAAAATCCACGAAATTTTTTGTTAAAATCTGCGAACTTTTTTTTTATTTTGTTTTACGATGTAAACAAAGAGAACATGTTCTCAATTAAAATAGAAGATGGGCGCGAACTTTTTTATTTTGTTTTACGATGTAAACAAAGAGAACATGTCCTCAATTAAAATAGAAGATGGGCGCGAAGCGCCCTAAAAGGCTAGTAAATATATATATATATATATGTAGTTACATTTATGTATATACATATATATAAATATATTTATATATACACATATTTAGTTACATTTATGTTTATATAAATATATATATATATATACATATATACGTACCTAAATAAGCCTGTTTTTCAGAAAACTGTGACTTTCGATCACAATTTGACCCATTAAAAATAATGTTTTGCCGTTTTTCCTTTTACTTTTTTGTCGGCGTATACATTTTGAATGAAAAAGTATAGTACAAACAAATCCGTAGCTGCCTGTGTGTAACTAGGCCTTAAGGCACTTTGTGCCCATCTTCTATTTCATCTTCTGTGATCATCTTCGTACAATACATAAATAAATCTTAAAAAATTAAATAGATAGTCTTTATATGGCATCGATTTTAATTTTGAATGATGCAAAATAAAAAGTGTTATTTATATAATAACTACCTGAAGTGCCCGACGTTGCCCTTGGAATCAAAAAAATTCCAATTTTTAAAGAAAACAAATCGATTTGTGAAAAAAAACTTCTAATGATTTTTAGCCTATGTTTCCCCCAGGGTAACCATTAGTTTTCTCTAAAAAGGTCAGCCAATTCGGTCCAGCCGTTTAGCCAATTATCGCTAACATATATAAAATTATACATACATATATAAATATGAGCAAATATAGCAATAGAGAACTAGAAACAAACAGGTAAAATCTGGTTTAAGCTTTCTGAATAATTTTACCTCTCATCTGACATCCAAAGTTTAGATTCTCCGAGCAAGGAAAGGACTGTATACCTGAGACAATTTACAAAAAAGAAGTTTTAATGATTTAAAATAAACTTTGCAGAAAATAATACTTTTAAACTATTTATGTTTGTCTAAAATCACGCAAGGATTGCATTAGGGTGCAATTGCAAGCCTTATAATTCCGCGCAATTCTGCTCAATTCCGCGCAGTTCCGTGCAATTCCGCGCATCCGCGAATTCCGATTGGAAACCCTAGTTTATAGTAAATTTTGCGTAAGATTGTTGTTTCAAATTTCTAATATAATAAACAAATATGTTTTTCTCTCAAACTTAGAATAAAATCAAAAACTAGATGCGCTACAAGATCACAAATTCGTACCAGTAATCTTGCATAAATAGTACCTACTTTTTCTGTTTAGTTTAGAATAACAAAACTTCGAACAAAGCTTTTTACTCTCATAAAATTGATGTCAAATTGTGGGTGTAGATGTGTCCCAAGAAACCTGACAGTTGGTGATTAGTTTAGAATGACTTGTTACACTCTGTAAGATAGTAATGATAATTTTGCCATTTTTTTGTTACAAAAACATTTTAATAAAACTTATTATACTTTGAAAATAGTTTTACTATAATGACTCCCATATAATATTATTATTATTCTCTTGGTATCAAACAACTTAATCCTTTCAAGATTGAAAGAGGGATGTTTTCCCACACCCCCCCGTGTTTTTTAATAGCTTAAAAACGACTTACTTCTTCACTTTTCAACATCATAGTTGTGAACAAATTTTGCCAACATTTGTGTTGTGAGGAAAGGTGCAAGGATATATAAACGACGGGTCGGTGTTTCAAAAAAATCAGAAATGGCAAATAACTTTTTTATTGATTAAGCTACAGAGCTTGAAAAATGGATGTATAAATATGAGTCCGTGTTAATGTTTGTAAGAAGCCAAAATAATTATTTTTGAACATTTTTCCGACGTACTTTTAAAACTTTTTTTAAATCCTTCCTTGCACCCTAACCATGAAAGTTAGAGGTCTCATTTTTTTAAGGAGCAGTCCTTGAAAAGTTGGACTAGGGATATGTATCACACTCCCCTATCTCAACTCAAAGAGCAAAATCATAGGGGAGGGGGGGGTGGAATTAACACCCTTCATCCTCCCCCGCAACTTATTAGACAAAAAAATCCCAACCGGCATACGTACACATGGATTTAAAGGTTCTGCCAGTTTTTCAGAAAACTGTGACTTTCGATCACAATTTGACCCATTAAAAATAATGTTTTGGGCTTTTATCCTTATACTTTTTGTCGGCTATACATTTGAATGAAAAAGTACAAACAAATCCATAGATCAAAAGATTGCTGCCTTTGATTTCAAATAGAAGAAACCGAATGCTTCTGACTTTGGTTAGTCCGGGGTGGATAGGGGAGGAAGACATTTTACACTATCTGTCAAGTCCGGGGTGGATAGGGGAGGAAGACATTTTACACTATCTGTCAAGTTTCGTCGGACATCCTGTACAAAAATTAATAATAAGAATAATACCTTGATCCCAAAACCCTGGTCTACCTGCCCAGCAATTACCCTCTTGACCTGAAAAATATCGACACCATTTCTACTGCAATCTTCATTACAAGGTGTAGAAATCAAAATATCTCTTGTCCTCGAAAATAAGTAAGTACATTCATTTATCTGTTTCTGTAATGTTCGCTTGTAATGTTCCTCTTGGATTTTATTGCAAAGACGACATTTTAAGAAATTTGAAAAAATCTGCTAACATATTTATAAAGGATAAAGCATTCAAGATAATGATGATAAAGAAACTTTTGATTTTTCCATTGATCTCACTTTAGAATGTAAAAATTGTATAGGCTTCAAATCAGTTCAACATGCATTATTTGCCAAATCATTAAATAAACCATTAAAAGACCACATTCAAGGCAACGAAGACATAATTTAAACTTGAAATCTTCATATGTAACCGTTATATAATGGCACAAGTTTTGTATCATAACAATTGAAGATCGAACACGACTTTATAATTGTGTTTACGCACCTGAATATCCCAGCCAATATAACTGTGTTTACGCACCTGAATATCCCAACCAATGCCAACTGTTTGCAGATCTGTACCCCCCATACCCGTCAAAATTATAAGGAAGAAATCCACCAAACTTTTCACAATAATCCTGGATAATAATTGACTTTTCCTATGTCCGAATTTAATAAATTTAAGCCGCGTCTCAAATCCCAAAAAAACCGGTTTCAATCGAGCGCCGGCTTAAATATTGAAAAATTGAATACAAAGTGGAACCAACAATTTTGAGCCCTGGCTTAAATTTAAGCCGCAGCTCAAATTCTTTAAATTTGGCCTCAGATTTAAAAAATATCAGTCAGCATCCTGCCAGTTACAAGTGCTTCATTGGTAGTGAATGAAAGGCCTGCGCGCGAGTTCATGCTTTTGTAACCATTCATTAATTGTTAGCTAACATCTTCCAAAAAAAAACTATTTAAATATCCTTTTGTTGCTATAACTGAAAAATTCTTTCAATTGACGTTATTTTCTGTTCTTTCTTTCTTTTATGCAATTCTAATTTAGAAATAAGAAACTTCTAAAAATTTTAAGGAATCAGAATTATTCAGATAATTTGCTTTTGAAATATTTATATCTAAGAAAGTGTTTTAGATTAAATCATATAATGACAATAATCGTTTACCTTCGAATCGTTAAAATTTCTTCTTATATCAGCAATCGATATTTCTTCAGGGTTGTTTTCATCACAGTAAAATAAGCACTATGAAAAAAAAACAAATAGTTCAATAAAATTTGTTTTAAATGTTAGATTAAATTTGAATTATATTTACCTGGTACGAATAGTAAGAATATGGAGGACGACATTCAGAACTTCTGTCACACCCATCTCTAAATATTGTTAAAAAATCGGGATTTGTCAATCATGCTTTTTTCTGGCTCTTTTCCCTATATTTATGCATGGTTTAAGCTTGCTTTTTTCTTTAAAGTTCCATCCTTAATGTACAATGAGAACCAGAAAACTATGAAATAGGAAGACTTAATTAAGTGCATTTGATGTTGTTACAATGCAAATAGTTTTACTATAATTGACTTATTAAATCATTCATAGAATGAAATAAGTCCATGTTTACACTGCACACTTGTTCTGTCTTATTTTCATCGGACTATTTAAAGTCAAAAGTCGTTTTCCTATTCCAAAGTTCTCTGGTACTGACTTTATGTAACCCTGCATAGTGTATATATGTCCACAATTGGCAAAAACAAATTGTTTAAAAAACAAGCTCGAAACATGTGTCTGTACTCTGTAGGCCTGAACATTTTAATTACAATTACAGTTTAATCTCGAAGTAACCGATAGAGTCTATAAAGTGTCGTTTTCCAAATCTACTGATGATTGATAGCTGCCGATATTTAGTTTTTTAATTAAATAATTAATAATTATGTTGAGCTCTTTAAAACTGTTCCAAAATATTTTATAACTTTTTATGTAAAACAATTTCTGAGATTTAGGTACAGTGAAACCCTTAATAACGAATACATCGAAAGACTTCATCAAATGTCGTATTCTTCACTTTCTGATAATGGAAGGTTGCAGATATTTAGTTTTTTAAATAAATGATTATATGGAGCTCTTTAAAACTGTTCCCGCATATTCATGGCTATGTATTTATTTTCGCAAATACTGAAATTTACGTAATATGGTATAAAACTCATTGAAAAATTGTCAAGACGACCTTCGATTAATTCTTCCGATGTATTCGATATTAAGGGTTTTACTGTGTAAAACTATAAAACCTAATAAAAAATTTCCAAGACGACATTTTATAATTTCTTTTCATTTTTTCGAAGTTCGGGGTTAAACTATATTTACCTTTCTGTTGAACCTGATGTAAACCCATCTGTTCGGTTTCTGGGATATCCTCTTTAATTAAAAATAAATTATCCAGTTTTTTATTAAAAGCTATTGCTGCTTTCTTAGTCATGTTCACTTCATATTCAATTGCATTATATTCGCATATTTGAAGTAATCATCTTGCTACAATATTTTATTGGCTGTATCATTCAAATAGATTATCATAATACATATTATAATATTAACATAATTGTATTAAAGTGTATGATTGGTCAATAGTTTCTGTTACCAACTATTTTACTTGATAGTTTATATTTGAGCTTTATATTATGGCAAGGTGGTATTAACTTAAATTTTCTCAGTATCTCAAGGGTTCGCACATTTTAAAATAATAGTGTCTAAAATAGTTATTTTTAACATTCATGTTTTTCTGTACAAATCTTTGAGCGCTTATTAGTATTGCCGCTTATTTTTTCTATTTTTTCGTTTATATTATTTTTTGCGAATATAGTGAACAAGTGTATTTTGAATTTAACCCAAAAACAAAACGAATATCAAACCTCATTAAACACAAAATTTTGTAAAAACCAATTATTTAATCTATTTTGTATACTTTAGAGATGCAAAAAAATATGTTTAAAGGTCCTAAAGATGAAAATCATCCTGTCGTTTCAATCTTGTTTTTTAACGGATTTTTAACGGATTGTCCCTTTTGTAGTAAAACAAAATGTTCATGTTATTCTTTTCTTATTGTGGTAGGCAATTATATCAATATAATAAAGACTATTTTCGATTTCATTTTGATTTTGATCGGCCTAATTTTATTTTCTTATCTTAAATTTTAACTCATTTAGTAAAACCAAGAAAAACTCTTATTCTGAACGAAATCATTCAATCTTTTTAATGCCCTGAATACGCACTGTATAGTGTATACGCCCAGTATACGCTCTGTATACGCCATGTATATGCTCTTTATATACTCTGTATATGCCCTGTATACGCACTTTACACATCCTGTATATGTCTCGTATATGCCCTGTATACGCACTGTATATGCTCTGTACACGGACTGTATACGCCGTTTATACAACCTGTATACGCCCTTTATACGCCCTTTATACGCCCTTTATACGCCCTGTATATGCCCATATGTTTAATGTTTATACAAACCTGGAGGATTTTAGGTAACATAGTTGTTCCCTTTCATCATAGGTAAACCACTTACACCTGTACAATAATACATATTGCAAAGATATAGGGATTTCAAAATCAGGTTTGTGAGTTGTGGCGAGAACTCAAGTCCTTTGGTTACAATTTAGATTTTTTTCTCAAGTCTCCCCCCGCCCCCCTGCACAATTTGATATCTTTCTACCTTTGTAAATATCTAATCTTAGATTGACTTTTATACTTTTAACATACAAATATATCTTAAAGAAGATATAGATTTTGAAAACTTAACATCAGTAAATTATCAAATGACAAAAGACAGTATTTTCCTTGTGTTGCTATCGTTGCCTCATTCACGCTTTGATCTGGACTTGATAAAAGAAAGATAGATAAAATGCAGTGAGAACCATACAACCGTTGAGTGAGGGGAGGAAGGCCAACCACATCAATCTCTAGTCCGAACCACATTCTCCTCATTTTCTCGTCCGAACCACCTCGAAATCCACGTCCTTTCAATATTACTTTTTTAAAGTGTCTAATCCTTCCAGATAAAACTATTTTTAAAGAATCGGGCCACGTTAGGGCATAAATGAAATATCAAATTTTTGTAAATCGAAAAAAAAGTTTCAATTGAATTAAAGATTTCATTTTCAGATATTCCTGGTGTAGAATGCCGCAAATAATTCCAAGTTTATAGAACTTCAATCTTTTTTGTTAACTTTAGCGAAAATCATAGGATTTTTCCGGGTGGTTCCATGGGGAAAATTATAGGCAGAGGTATGCCGAATATTTTGCTATTTTTTTCATATCACGAAGGTTAGCCATTACGGAGGCAGAAGAGATTTAAGTTTTACCTAAATAAAGTTTGACATCATTCTCATGGGTTTGAAGATTCCAACATGATATAATCATTGCAATACTTTTGTTCAATAGTTTTATCTTCAAGAATTGGAAACTTTTTAATACAAAATAATCGAAGGACGAGGATTCCGAGGTGGTTCGGACGAAAATGAGGAGAATGTGGTTCGGACTAGAGATTGATGCGGTTGGCCTTCCTCCCCTCGTTGAGTATGAGACGAAATGAAAGCAATACTCAAGTGTATTTGATGTTGTGGCAAAGCAAATAGTTTTACTCTTAACTTCTTGTCTGTTTTCGCTGCAAAATTTCTGCATTTGATGTTTTTTGAGCCATTTGAAGACATAACTTGAGTTTAAATTCGTCTTCCTATTCCAGAATTTGCTTGTTCTTATTTTATTATTTGCAGTACTCGAGTTCTTAAGTTTGTCTTATTGTTCAGTAAATACTGGTCAGAAAGATCTATGTTATGTAAGATTTTTGACCTGAAGTTATCCTCACACTTATTGTAACAAGCCTTGCTACTGTTCTTCTCTATTCTAACTCCTCCTCCACCCTGATTATATAATAGTATTGGTGGATTTAAGAAGAAAAAAAATTCTTTAAAGTGTCACGTGACAACGATACTGCACTACCATTGGCTGAAGTTCTGGTGACGTAATACAGACTTTACGGACTATATGTAATTAACTTATCAATTATATCTATTAAAAATGCAAAATAAAAATTAAAAAATAATAATAGGAACAAACCTAAGATTCTCAGGCTCCTGTGGAATATCGTAGTTTTCAGATTGGTTGCATATTTGTTGAATATGATCTGTTTTATACTACAACTTTGATAGAAAATTGCATATATATGAATTTTCATATAAATTTGACACAGTTTTATATCAATTTCTCGAGACAGAAAAATCAGATAGATGTTTTAAATGTATCTTTTAACGCCTGAGATTCTCAGGTACATCCTACACCCCTTTCATTTTTCTTTTTACAGTCTTTTTACAGTCTTTAAAGTCCTACTTTAGTCTGTAAGGGCCAATTTATATTTTATAATATTTTTCACTTAAATATTTGTTTACCAAGAGCGGTGAAAGATCTCCCCCTACATATTCTACGTCATCTGCTGAGCAACCACTGCCAGATCTTTTAATAAAAAGCATTAAAAAAAATAAGAAAAAGACAAGAATTGAGTCTTATTCACAAATTCAAGTTTCCCAATCCAACCAGAGCTGAAAACTTTAGAATGGGATATCCTTAATCCCGATCAGTTAATTAATCTGGAGATTAATAATAAGAGGAGAACAAGCATTATTTAATCTGGAGGTTAAGAAAAAGAGTGGATTAAGCATTAATTCCGATATCCACCATTCAAAAGTTCCCAGCTCTGATGATATATCTTATCACGTAAAGCTTTTATTTTTCGAACAAAGATCTATCCAAATTTTTTTTAAGTTTGCAATATTTTAGTTCTTCTAGTTTGCGTTGCGGATAGGAATTTCAGAAATCAATTTAAACGTAAAAAAATCAATGGACAGAAGAATTTAGCCTTGGCCACAAACTTAATTGTTTAATCTTTGCAACCTGGTGATTTAACCTTAGATTTTTTAACTTGCATTGTTTTTTAATAGTTTGAAATATCTTAGGTCTTCTAGATTGTGCAGCAAAGATATAGGAATGAGAAAATTAGAGATTGTGGCAGTTTGGCAAAGATTCGATTACTTTTTTTAATATTGAAATGACAATTTTTGTCAAATATTTTGATCCGGTTTAAACTGAATTCAGTGTGGATTTCCAAGAAAATTATACCGAAAACAACGGAATAATTGTAAAATTCGAATTTTTTAAAATTACAAATTTAAATTTTCTAATGCAAGTGGTTTTTAGTTGCGACTTGCGCGCAGTCGCAAGACCTGTAATGTCGTGCACTTACAGCACAATTCCGCGCAACGGAATTAATGTTAGAAACCCTCAAAGAAACTTTATAATGAAATGTGTCATGAATGATTTGAAACTACTGTGAATTGTGATTAAAGGTCGAATTTAATGAATTTGAGCCGCGGCTCAAACTTGGTTAATTCCACTTGAAGTTGTATTCAGTGTTTCGAGATTTAGGCCGGCACTCAATTGGACTCAATTGGACTCAATTGGAACCGGGTTTTGCCGGTTCACCAACTCGGTTTAAATTCTTTTATTTCAGCCTTAGGTTGTAGAAACTTTTTTTGAACTAGATATGGTTGATGAAACTACTTCACTTCCCTCCAAAATGTGCGAGTTCACTAATAATCTGTTGGATCCGGATCCGTTGAATTCACAACAATTTTGCTTCCTGGATCCGGATCCGAAAAAATGTGCAGATCCACGGATCCGGATCCAAGGGGCAAAATATCAACCAAGTACTTGAAAAACTATTTTTGCTCTCACATTTTAAATCTAAATTGTTAAGAAAATAGAGTTAATCAAAAATAAAAAATTTTAGCTCTGAAGTGTTCTTCAAGTTTAGAGCTCAATATTAATCAAAAAAGAAAAAAAAAATTTAAAATTATGTTTTTTGTTAAAAAATGGTAAATCTAAAGAATTGTTTATGACCTGGATCCATTTTGTTTTCAGAACGGATCCAGGATCCGCGGATTCAGGATCCAGATCCAGGATCCGGATCTAGCTAAATTCAATGAAATGGATCCTATCAGCACGTACCTTCTAGTCCCTGGTGACCCCCCTGATGATCCTTCAGCTGGAGTACAAAATCCCTCTCCACTCCCACAATATCCAAAACTAAAATAAAGGTAGTGGTTGCACAATATCCAAAACTAAAATAAAGGCAGTGGTTGCAAATATCCAAAACTGAAATAGAGGGAGTGGTTACACAATATCAAAAACAAAAATAAAGGGAGTGGTTGCACAATATCCAAAACTAAAATTAAGGAGGTGGTTTCACAATGTCCAAAACTAAAATAAACGGAGTGGTTGCACAATATCCAAAACTAAAATAAAGGCAGTGATTTCACAATATCCAAAACTGAAATAAAGGGAGTAATTGCACAATATCAAAAACTAAAATAAAGGGAGTGGTTGCAAATATCAAAAACTAAAATAAAAGGAGTGGTTGCAAATATTCAAAACTAAAATAAAGGGGGTGGTTGCAAATATCCAAAACTAAAATAAAGAGAGTGGTTGGAAAAAGTAAAAAGGGATGGAGAAACCATACTCGTAATACGATTTATGAAAACTGAGATGCGTAACTTAGAACCCATTAGCACTCTTATATAAATTTGATTCTTTTGTTGGGCTACAGTGTTAAAATATTAAAATATTTAATTCTGATTTTATAAGCATTTTGAAAAAAAATATGAATAATATTAATGAAATAATGTTGTGAATTGTTTCAGATAAAAACCGGAAACATTTTTTTTATTAAAGAAATTGAGTTTTTGTCACATTTTCTAATCCATGTTATAACCCTTTGATATTTTAAACTTTAAATTCTGTCAGAACAAAAAATCTAAGTTTGAAATATCAAAGGTTGCAGGGTTGCAGGTTGTAATGATATGGGGACCATACCATTTAAGTTTGTGACAAAAAGTCAGTTCCTTTGTACTTAATAAATATTGGTATCACAAAAAAATTATGAGGGGGGTTGTAGGAGCGAGGGTCAAATATGGTTAAAACTAAGATTGAGTTCATTCTTTTACAGAACTATAACTTAAATCTCGCGCGGTCTATAGGGTTGGACCCTAAAGAAGCTTTTTTTTAAAAAATTTAAATAGATAAAGTTTTACCCTGAGCAGCAGGGAGCATTTTCTTTACAGTCCTTGTCTTCCTTGCATTTATCTTGAGAACTTAAACCAATATTTTATACTTTTAAACCAATTCTTCAGATAATTTCTAAACTATGAAATAAAACTTAAAGGGACTGTAAGCAAAATTTCAAGTGATCCTTCGGGAAAGATGGTAATGCCCGATTTACAGTGGTCCCCTTAACACCTTTATCTGATCAAGCATATAGAAGATATTGTTGTTTTATGTTAAAGTATTTAATTCGAATAGTTCATATAGTTCATGGTAGAAGTCGGAAGTCACTTCTGTTGAGAAAAATTATAAAAGTTAATATCTAATTAATGGAGGGTCACTTGAAATTGCGCATACATTCCCTTTAATGAAATAACTATCCCAATGTCTCTGAGAAGAAAAACCATCCTCACTGAGAATGACGGCCGGGCATCCCTGCATACATCTTTAAAATTAATATATGACATTGTTTTAAGGTACTATTAAATATATTTGGTTTGGTTTGTTGAGCTGGAAGACGATATCAACGGTGTTTTTTTTTAATGCCCTTTTAGAATTAAACAATAAGGATGAAACTTAATTATATTATGGACCGATTTGAACTATTTAAATTACAATCCGTAATTGTTTCCCGGCCTTAAAAAAAAAATATTCAAAATTTGCATAAAGTTTACTATAAACTCCAATCAAAGTTTGATACTTTTGTCAAAAGCTTCTTTTAAAAACTAAAACTAAATACAAGTGCTTTACATTCCTAAAATGTACATGGTTAAAGGGACAGTAAAGGAAAAATGAATTAAGGATTAAAAAAGTGTAATTTATGTTAAGAGAGGTAAAAGAAAACACCAAGGCGGTGTGACACTTTAGAGTAGTCCCAGTCCTAAAATTGATGCAACCTTTCTTAGCTGTCTAAATTTTTGTGATTCAGAATGAAGAGAGCAAATCCACAAAAAAGTTTTTCTTTAGTTTCAATTTTTTTAATCATTGGTTTTCCCTGACAAGGTAAAACTGCAGCATCAAGATTAATTTGATCTCTGCCTTCATCCTTTTTTTATCTGAAAATATGCATTGAAATTATTAAAGTTATGGAAATTATTGAAAGTATTGACATTTTTGAAATTATTTAAGTTATTAAAATTATTGAAATTATTGAAATTATTCCAGCTATTGAAATTCATCATAATCATCATATTTTGAAAATATTTTGAACATTTTTGATTTATTTTGATTTATTTCTGTCTTTTCAGTTTGTTATTTTACATTTTAAAGGAACACTCCATGCTAAGATGCCAATGTCCGATTTACAACAGAACCCTGAAAAGCTTTGATCAGGTATGAATTAGATATCCATATTTTGTTAAATTAAAATGCGTGTGTTCGGATGGGACTCATGGTTTCTCTACAAAAGGGGCATGCGCATTATGAAGAAACAATGGCGAAATTCACAGAAAACGACGTTATCTCAAGGGTACCATTGTAAATCGGAAATATCTATCTTTGCATGAAGGGTCACGTGAAATTATGCTTAAATTATATCTAATTTTACAACAATCATTTATCCGTTTATTTCATCTTTTACATTTTTCTTATGACTTCATATATATGAGAGAGGGGTCGCTGCTCTCAGAGTTTTGGAGTAGAATGTGACAATGTATCCGACTTTTAAAATGGGTACTTTAAAACCGAAAATTGATAAAATGTTTTGCTACTTCTTTTGTACTGTCTTTGTTCAGATATTTGCAGTAAAAAAATCGCAAATTTTAGTCCAAGTAGCCTGCGGCGATCATATTGTCTTAATTGGCCGAACTGTTTTAGCTTTTACATTAAACATTATTATTAAATGTAAAAAAACTTTTTTTGGTTTAGCTTATTATAGGGCTATTGAGAAGAGTAAAAATGCATATAAATCAGTCTTAACCTTGGGTTGGTAATGTTGGTCAAAAGGCGGTAAACCTTAAACAATTTGATCAAAGTTGTGTAATAAGGTTGGCTACTCTCGATTTTCTCCAATGTACGGAAAATGTCGTCTCCTAAGATCATAGAGACGAGAGTGATGCCATATGTGGTTTTTATTTATCTATCTTAGGAGACGACATGTTCCGTACATAAGAGTACATCAAGAGTAACTAACAACCTTGAATTTGAAAATAAATAAAATGTTATCTTATGGATCAGTATTTTTCAAGGTTTTTTTATTTGTGCTTTTTCTTCATAATGTTTCTTGGCTATGACAACCTTTAGATAAGCTTGGGGATGTTAATTTGAGATAAAAAAAATTTTAAATATTCTTTTAATAGTCAGGTTTTTTCTTTATTTATCATAATTTTTTAATTATTCTTATAACTAAACAAATAAGCAGTAAATTTTCATATTAATCTAAAACCTTAACAAAACAGGGTGTCCTACGAAACATGATATAGTTTGAAATGTAGACTTCCACAAGTTATTTGAAGCAAAAGAGAAAATAAAAAAAATTATATGGCAGTCATATAGTGATCGAAATTATTTTAATGTTAACTATATTTGAGTAAAAGATTTTTTTAACGAAATAAATAGCAAAAATTCCTTGATATCAAATACAGAATATAGAAGGAGATGCATTCGAAACTATTCACTAACTGTCATGTTTCGTGGGACACCCTTTTTATACGAGTTGTTATCGCCAATTAGAAAGTCAAGGCAATAAACTCTTTTATTCGTCTATCTCGTCAATTGCAAATTATATTTGCAAATTGCAAATTATATTTTACGTTCTTTTATGATTATTTTTTTTATTTAAATTTTGTGATCTTCAGAATTGCATAGTTTTATACTTTCTATTCATATGCTAAAGAGACAGGGTTATTCACAAAGGTTGAGATTTCAGTGACGACTGTACGGAATTTATTTAGTATTTTATCACATACTTTATAGGCTACCTGCAGCCTGCACCAATCAACTTGTTTCTCTCTTCACAAAGCTGTTAATTTTACCAATAAAAGATAATATTTTTAAGTCAGAACTCCAATTTTAATCTTCAGGTTTGAGAACGACATTAAGTGCTCATTATTTGTGGGTAACCCGCGGTATTTTTTGAGATTTCTTTGTTGTTTGAATCAAATACCGCAATATTGTTTGATTACTTCTGTTTGAGATTAAATTGGTTTACAATTGATGTTGTTAGAACAGTGTTCACTTAACCAACTGCTTTAAACCATTAATAATGTGTAATAAAGAAGCTGTAAAAAACATGTGAAGTCATTGCTTAGACACCCCCCCCCCCCCCC